CCAAGAGAATTTTAATGGTGCAAACTAGAGGTCAATATCGCACCCCTAAGCAAAATGGCAGCCAAATGGCGCATTCAAATTGGGTATTTTGGGGGCTGCTCTAAATTGTCAAATGTAAACACCTATCATGTGACCCCTCATTTTAAAGGGTTTAACAAGAGAAATTGATTGGCGCAAACCAGAGGTCCTTATCGCACCCCTAATCAAAATGGAAGTAATTTTGAAATATCCCCTATTAACTTTTTTACAGGTTATAGCAGGAAAACTAAACTCAGCATACCTTATTAAAGAAACTTGAATTTACCTTTTGGTCAGTATTCAAATATAACATTTTAATACTGACCAAAAGGTAAATTCAAGTTTTTTTTAATATAACATTTTAATACTGACCAAAAGGTAAATTCAAGTTTTTTTAATAAGGTATGCTGAGTTTAGTTTTCCTGCTATAACCTGTAAAAAAGTTAATAGGGGATATTTCAAAATTACTTCCATTTTGATTAGGGGTGCGATAAGGACCTCTGGTTTGCGCCATTCAATTTCTCTTGATAAACCCTTTAAAATGAGGGGTCACATGAGGGGTGTTTACATTTGAAAATTTGGGGCTGCCCCCAAAATACCCCACTTTGAGGGCCGGGTACAAGTTCTAATTTTAAAGAAAAAGTGCATTTTTTTATGTTGTAAATGTGTGCCGAGTTTGGTTTTCCTACTGCAACGTGTTAAAAAGTTAACTGGGGGGTTCCAGACTTTTGCCTAACCCTGTATTAAAAAGGCCAAGGCTAAGGCAAAATTTAGGTTGTAGCAGGAAAGCCTTTTTATCCTACCTAACTCAAGCTTACGATGTTATGGGAATTATTTTCAAATCATGGCAAGAAAAATAATAGTATAGCAATATGAATATTGCTACATTTTTTATGTTATCAACAAATGAAGACTTGTTAGCGGAGCTTATATTATTCATAAAATTATTTTGACCACATAATAGATCTTCATATGGTCCATACTTTTTAAACATATCTACAAGGTCAGTGTTTATTGGAATATTGTTTTTGTTTTACAATATGGTATAGCTACTAAACAGGTGACATTGTCAGTCAAAATTGCATTGATAATACAAGAATCAGTAGATAGAGAAAAAAGTCATAAAGAAATAGTTATTACTGATGTTTTGGATTCCTAAAATTATGTTTGAATCTTGTATTTTTGGCTATGTAAAATATCATATTTAGACTGAACAGTTGTTAGTGTTTAAAAAATTAAGCTAGGGACAGTAATTAAGAAGAAGTAAGATTCTCTATATTTCTGATGAGAACCCCCAAGTTCAATACCATATTAAAGAACAAAATTACATTAAGCATAATTATATGTTTAGTCTAATTTTAATATCAGTATTTCTCACACAAAGCATAGGTAACAGGAATAATTCACTTTATGCAACATGGTTGTATTTTCACCATAAGCATTTCACCTAAATAAATAAATAAATCAGAAGATTTATTACACATAACAATTTTATACACATTGAATAGCTTTAATAGCAAGCAAGCTTTCTAGTTATTTAAAAACTGAATACCATCCAAATTAACTGGCACCAAGTGATAAAAACTGTGTTATTAATATTTTAGAGTAAGTATGACTTAAAAAACAAGACAGCTGTAAGGTTTGAATAGTAATTGAAAATGGGTTAAAGTGTTTACATGAACCAACACTGTGTTTACACTGTAGATAAAACCCCACAAAAATCCATGGTTTCATGTATTATTATAATTAGTATAATTATTATTATTATAATTATTAGTATAATTTCAGTCATCGAAAAAATTAAAATAATAATCCAGGATATACAACTCTAGTAAAATACAAAAATAATATGAGTTGTTGTGTGGTTTAGTTTATGTTAACCTAAAAGTATAGATACCGAATTACATTTAAGACAGGGTTTAAAGACAATTTTAGAGGTTTATAGTTAACATGTGTGCTAAATAAACGTGAGATTTATGCCCCAGAGAGTAATTAAGAGTGGTAATTCAGTCCATTTGTTGACCCCTTGATTACTCTTAACTGAGGGGCTGTTAAAACTTTGGATGTATATAAAGTCAAACATTGTATACGTTAATGAGTGCATTATTATGATCAAGTTTAATTTACAAAACCTGTTGAAAAACTTCATTTTTTAACCTTGAAAAAGCTTTTTTTTTGCAAAAAATTAAAATACCCTATTATTAAATATGTATTTATTTATATTATAAGTATTAGGTTTTATTCCTAAATTTTTAAATTCAGGCCCAAAAGGGCAAAATAACCTTGTTATGAATAGTCATTTATTTAGTCTTTTAACAACACAGTATAGTAATTGACATTGTCATTATTATTGTAAAAGATATAAGATGCAATACTTATATACATACTGTACTTAAAAAATTTGACATGAAAAATCCAAATTATAGGCTGCCCTTTATTTAACATTTAACAGGTTACCAGGGTTAAAAATATGCAAACTTAACTAACTTAAACTATAAATGACAGTGAGTCTTTCTTAAAAAATACTAATGGTTATCACTGGTGTAACAATGAACATAGAGGGAGAAAATATATAATTTCTATCGTTAAATCACAGATGTATATGTAAGGTAACAAACATATCAAAATACAGTGAACATGAAAGGTTCCACATTCATATGTTAATTAAGGAATTGAGCTGATTGGCCTCAAAAGTTCAGACAAAAATGTTGACACATTCACTTATGCTTACCATTATGAGTTTGTACTTTTAGAAGTTTAATACAAAATATGCACAATTACAATTCAGTGATGGTTATTTAACATCGGTAATTCAACTTTACTAATCATATTTTCAGTACAACAACACAGTTTCTGGTCCTGTTGAAATTTAGGTTATTATGAACATTTCTCCCTATGAATGGATAAAAATAGATAAGTACCTACGTAAGTTCCCTATACGCTAGCTTCCTTTCATTCCCCTCATTTAATCCTTCACCTTTATCAAACTTCAAACAACCCTCATTTAATTGATACCAAACAAACACCACTATGTATGGAACCTTTGTGAGATAACTTCTGTACCCTAGTAAGTACTTCTGTACCCTATGAAAAGATGGAGGTAATGAGGTAACATTTAACCAATCAAGTGCCCTTCGTGGTATGTTACTTCTTAGACAAGTATTTATCTCACTTCTGATAACAAGTTTAGTCGACAGAATTTTATGATACAATTTTTGTACGTTGATTCTTAGGACTCCCTGTGAAAGGCAATCAGTACATTATAATTACAAAGCCTAAGCTTGGAAAACAAAGTTGAAATACTCACAAGGTTGTTGGTTGCTTTTCAATATACAGGGTGAATTTTAAATGAGTTCCCCCCCTACTTTTTTCTACATTTCTTAAGATATCATCTCCGGACCACGTCAGATCATTGTTGAGTAGTAAGTACTTCATTTTGACTGGGTATAAATTTTTGGCCGCCATCTTGGATCCGCCATATTGGATACAAAGTTTTTTTTCAAATGTAAAGGTAGGGTTGTGACCCATTATTTCAAACAAGAATTTTACGCTGATTACAATGCCGCAATTATTTTTTAAAAATCTTGATCCGTTCTAAAGTTATGAGGACTTTTTATAATTTTATTTTTAGCACATTTTAACATTGTGCATTTACAAACTAAGACCATAATCTCAAAATAGTGCTAGATAAAGATAAGTATACACCACCATTCATTGTCGACTTATTTTCATTTGGTTATGACGGATGTAGTTTTTTCAGCCGCCATCTTGGATCCGCCATTTTGAAATGTGATCAATTAATTTAAATATGAAGGTGGTGTTGTGACCCATCATTTTGATCTAGTTTTTCATGCTGAACTCAATGCCGCAATCCGTTTTTCATTTGCATCTTTGGATTTTGAAATATTGAAATTTTAAATAAGAGTATTTTAATATTTCATCAAGAAAGCTTGATAACCAAAAACGGATTGCGGCATTGAGTCCAGTATAAAAAAGTAGTTCAAAATGATGGGTCACAACACCACCTTCTTATTTAATGACATTGATCATGTTTCAAAATGGCGGATCCAAGATGGCGGCTGAAAAAATTACATCCGTCATAACCAAGTGAAAATATGTCAACAATGAATGGTGGTGTATACTTATCTTTATCTAGCACTATTTTGAGATTATGGTCTTAGTTTGTTAATGCACAATGTTAAAATGGGCTAAAAATAAAGTTATAAAAATGCCTCATAACTTTAGAACGAATCAAGATTTTTAAAAACTAATTGCGGCATTGTAATCAGCGTAAAATTCTAGTTTGAAATAATGGGTCACAACCCTACCTTTACATTTGAAAAATAAACTTTGTATCCAATATGGCGGATCCAAGATGGCGGCCAAAAATGTATACCCAGTCCAAATGAAGTACTTACTACTCAACAATGATCTGACGTGGTCCGGAGATGATATCTTAAGAAATGTAGAAAAAAGTAGGGGGGGAACTCATTTAAAATTCACCCTGTATATGATAACCGTTTTGAATAAATGTGGATTTTGTAAATGATTGTCAACTGTCAAAGAGATGTTTTGAATGGTTGGAAATTACGTACTAGTATTAACGTACGTGTAAGTGATATGTAGTTGTAAATTTAAGTTTACAATCTGTTAAGATTTTCATCTCACAATACTTTTACTAATTTTTATGATTTTCATCCAGGTAACATGATATAATCAGTTTTGTATTTCTAAATTTAAATCAACAAATGTTTTGAAACCTTCAAGTTAATTTTTTCTGGGCGACTTGTACTTGTTGATGGAGAAAAGCATCTTGTGTGTCAATGTTAACCAATTGTTAAGGATAGTTAAGTAATGTTAATAGACCAATGTCAATTGAAGAATATACCAACATATGAGGAAAGGCTAATTGGCCAATAAAACCACACACACTCTTATCTCATGTTGATCACTGATTAATTTTTGTTCTCTCTTCTTTTCAGGGGGACAAGAAAGGTGAGGGGGGAGGAGCCAATGAGATAGTTACCTGTGCCAACTGTGGGCCCAATCCTTGTACCCATACCACCAACAACGGGTGTGCCACAGAGGTTAGAACCAATGTCTGTATCTGTATCCCTCCTTCTAACACTTTATCTATAACACTTTGCTTTAAAGCCACCCATTGAGATTTGGGTGCTATCTGTATTTTTTTTATAGCTACGGCAGTGCCATTTTGAATTTTAGAATCATAAACACTTTTATGGGTCCGCCCTACCTCTCCCGTTCCGTGTAAATGCAAGGGTTTGGGGGCCCCGTGTTTCCGAAGGCTACACTTAACGTAGAATCAAAGTTAGGGTGGAATTTTGAAGAAGATTAAATTATATAAAGTATGGCGATTTCAATATGTTTAATATCCTACTATAAAGCCTGAAAATCTTCTTTTAATGTAGACGAAAAACGGCAATTTCAAACTAATTAAACTTATTTAAGAATCGTTATAAAAAAATTAAACCAAGGTCGTATGGATTATTCTTTCTTTGTTCTTTAAACCACCGTTTCTAGCATGTATGGGTAATTTACAAAGGCAGGGCCCATAAACCTCTGCAAGCGCTTCTCGCGGCGCTGTTCAATGGCGCAACATAGCTACTGAAGCCCGAGCTGAGGTAGTGCGCACCCTTAAGGTAAAACTGTTCAAACCACTCCATCTTGTATAGACAAGTCAGGAATGGAAACCACCCCTTTCACACAGATGTCTGACAGGCTAACCACTAGGCTAGTAACACGCCTGGTTGAACGTTAAGCAGTTATTACTATACACATTCATCAACGTGTGAGTTGATTTTGATGAGTTGGATGCTAACTAGGATTGAAACTACTCATAAATTAAAATTGAGTTCATTTTCACAAGTTGCACTGAGAGAGAAATTACCTCCTTCTGGTTACTTTTCCCAAAAAATATTTTTCATCCTAGAATTTCAACTGTGAATTTGAAGTTGTTCAACTTGTGTTCACGTTCTATCTGAACTCCAAGACGTCAACTGAGTTCCATTACTTTTGGCAAGATATTTTAACAGGCAGCATTATAGATTGTGTCTCATAATAAGCACTCCCTCGATCTTTTCATAGTTTAGGTCAATTCTATTGGAATATTATCATTTTTATTTAATAATTACTTATTGGTGCAATTACTTGCTCAGTTTTGAAACAGAGATGGGAAAATTAAACACATGAAATTGATATGACACTCACCAGAGGGGATCCAGGCGTTTGGTTGCAAAAATAGCAATCTTATAGTCATCAACATTTCTCTAAATTTCAGCTCAGTTTGATTTACATTCCATGTTCTGAAGAGGTATAGTCAAATATCCTGAGGGCTTGTACTTGTGAGCCCAAACATGTGTAAGAATGTTCAAAATTGTCTAGTTTAAAGGGTATTATAAATTTCATAAATAAAAACTTCATCATTTCTCAACCCTAGATTTGACTCTGTAAAAATGTGTTTCCAAAGCAATCGTCTAAGGAATGTACATGTTCAAATACTATTACATATCAGAGAGACTCTATTTAATCTTTGGTGCCTACAGTAGGTACCATTATATACACTATATACCTATAGTAACTGTATACACTTAAAATAATTAGGGTAATTTAAATCTCACAGAAATTTCAAACATAGTAAACATAAAGTTGAGGGAAAAGACCATTAAAAACTGCACCACAGTTTTGGTAATCTCCGCAGACCAAACTTTGTTCAAGAAATAGTTATGCTGAGAGGCAAGTTTAGGTACCTAAGGCTTTATCAAACCGACTACTAGCATATTGTGTTAATACAAAACAGTGGGAAAATATAGCCCCATTCATGAATCCATACTAAAAACAATTACGATGTTTTCAACAAACAATTACAAATTCATTCGGTTTGGACAAATAAAATATAAATTTTCTCCTCTCCAAGAATACGTCTTGTAATAATTTAGGGTTAAGAATAAAACTACCTACACAACACCACATCTTTTATACACCTTTGATATTCCTCCTTATGTTTTGTTCTACAGACTCACCTAAAAACGGGTCTCAGGAGCAAAATATTTCTAAATGTCAAAATTTACTGATACTTGACCATCCCAAGTTAATCAATTTGTTTAATTAAACAGTTTTATTTTAATGCCAAAAAGTTGTGTAGCTTATGCAAATTGTTTTGCTCGATGCACTGGATGTACTGGAGAATAGATGGCCATGATATTCTAGATTGTGCTCTGTACTGGTTGGTTAATGATTTCAAGATTAGGTTCTCCCACAATGTTTTAAATGTGTTTAAAGCAGGGTTGTTATTGACATGTGCATAGTATGTCTGCCGTGCTACATGTTTTCTCTGAATTATGTTTTGATCCTTTGACAATCTATCTTTAACTCCTTTTTGTTATTCTCATTTTACCTTAACTGCATTTGCGTATTTATTTTTTGGACTTTCCTGGTGAGTGTAATCCAAAATATTACAGTTTATCCTGTTAATCTATCAAAACAACTACTGGCAACAACACAGCAAGCCACTACAGTTTAGTTACCTTCAGTAACCTATTCTTTCCTTGTGGTCCAAGTTTATCCTATTAGATTGTGCGCATTTCGATACGTACACCATTGTCAGATCCATAGAAGAACTATTCTTGCCTGAAGAGGTGTGTCGAAAGTTCACAAGTTCTTCAGTTGAGTCTCAACACCCATCTGGTCACCTCCATTCTGGTCTGTGCACGTGTTGTGAAAGTAAAACGATGTTAAATAACAGACGAAGAGTGTTTTATGTCTTATGAGTAATATTTTGAACTTTCGACACGCCTCTTTAGACAAGAATTGTTCTTATACGGATCTGACGATGGTGTATGCACCGAAATGTGTGTAATCCAATTGGATAAACTTGGACCACAATGCAACAACAGGTATACTACGGTAATTCAACCTTTTTATTTGCCAAATAATTAGTCTGGAAAAACCACGACAAGAAATGAAATATCTTCAGCACCTCTTTTTGTAATGCTTGTCATTCAGTTTTTTGTTTTAGCTGTGATCCTAGTGGATTCTTATGAGCTAATAGAGTATAGGTATTTGAATAATCATACACATTTCTATGTAGTAACAAACAATGTTGTGAGTAGAATTACAAAGAGATTGGTTCCATTAAAATATTTGAGCAGAAACATTAATGAATTGTTTTATTGCTAAGCTAAAACTACTGTACATATATCTACTTTGCATTATGACAAAACATACTTATTTTTGTATTTATACTCAAAAGGTTGGTGACAATATAAAAACTGTTATGAGTTACAGTATTTAATTGGGTCCATAAAATTATCTTCTTTTTAAAAACTAATTTGGGTTTGTTATTTTTTGCAATAAACTTTAATTATGTAAACCCATTCAGAGACTCAATCAAATAAATACAAGATGGTTTAATGCCCACAATGAGTTCTGACATGGCAACTGACCCAATTGCTATTCATTATCTATTTTGGCTCCAGGGATGGTTTTCTGTTTTGATGACAATATCTTTTGGATAAACAGTTGAAAAGTGTTTGAATGAGTAGTAGGTTTGGTATCTGGCTCTTTCTGGGTAATTTGATTCCATTACTGTACTTTAGGATCTTAGAAAATGTCTAGCACATTATTAAATTCTAAGTTTTCAAGTTTTCAAAATTAAATCTCTTATAGCAGCTCTACTTAATAAAATATTTGTATACAGATTCCACAAAGAATAGTAAAATAAATTGATGCACTGTATTGCATTATCTTGAAAATAGGCAGCAGCTATATAGATAATCCCGTCTATACCATTTTCTAGGTCGATCTAGATGAAATTACCCTTACAAAAATTATCTCATCCGATCATCTGGTTACAATATTTTGCCTTACAACAGATCATTCTTATTCAAGTTTATTTGAGAAAACCATAAGTCTGTTAAACCATCAGGTTGAAGTTAAAAAAGGTATGAGTTTTTGATGCAGAAACCAGTTTATTGTTTCGTTTCATCCAACCAGAGTTTATTAATTTAAATTTAAAATGCAGAAGCTCTTCATTCACTTCATCAGCAGATACTAAATGTTGAGGTTTTCAAACTTCTGACACAACATCTCATGCACTTCTATCTTTTCCCTTCACATGGAATTTCTTCTGACCATTTTATTATGGCACCAATCTTTTCTTTGATTCTATATCTCCTCCCTTCTGAGATCTTGATCTGATGTGGTATTTCTAAAAGTTTAATGTTCAACGTTTTACATCAAATCAGCTGGATCTCTTCTTGCAAAAGGCCAAAAATTCAACTGATTTTCTTCATCTTCCCCTTAGTATTTCATCGATAAGTAATAATTTAAGATAGACTTATCTTTGTTTTTTCGCTGGATCATGGACATAATTGGGTGTTTGTGACTATATAGTTTATTGGATGAATAATCCAAATAAAATCTTAACTACAGTAAAATAATACAGAATATTGAAGGTTTTAAGAAGCAAATAAAGTATTGAAATCTTAACAAGTTTTCCTATAATTCTTTAGAAACTGCAATTTTAACAATGGTACAAAATTTACACCTAAATTACAAAAATAGTGAAAAGTTAAAATTTCTTTATCTTAAGTGGATCTCTATTTTTCATTCAAAACTGTATTAATAAATCATCCTTCATTTCTAATCTGTTTTTCTCATATGTAGTCTTCTTGAAGAAAAAAATATATGGTGGGAATTTTTTAGTACCATATGTACTATGTTTTTTTTTTTTTGTATGTTTTTTAGTAACAAAACTATTTCTCTTTAAAATTGGGGATTAATCTAATTAATCTAAATAAATAGGAATCATAAGTTTTTTCCATTCTATTTATTTACTTGAAGTAAAATAAATTTGAGTGGGGTGAAATGGAATAGTTTATAATAAAGTGTAGACAATTACTAATCTCACTGTCGAGTACTTTAAGTTTATTTTTTTCATTTTGTACATATTAAACATACTGTATATAATGGAATGTCATTATAAATGTAGTAGTCGTCTTTTTTTACTTGCTAGTGTTTTATTTATTTTTTTTTCATTTCATGATCATAATAATTACAGCTTATACTATATTATATAAGACAATTGCCATACATACGTCTTGACCATTACATTGAACACTGTCCATTGTTGTACTGTACATAGAAATTAAACTTTCTTGCAATATGAGCTAAACAGTGATGGTTTTACTCTATTATCCCTCTAAATATTTCAAAACTTGATGCTCTACTTTTTGTAGCCTGTATACATAAATGTAGCAAGTTCTTTAACTTACAGAATTGTATCCCCGGCGCCCCACCCGGATTGCCACCGCAGGTAAGTTAGGCAAATCCTTTCAATGTTTCCAGTTCAGCTACCGTACGCAAATCCGACCATTTTGTCAAAATGAAAACGCTAAACTCTTGCACTTCTCTTGTGAAATTGTAAGTTCTTCAATATAGCATCAGTTCATTTCAAGGATTCACCCCTCCCCCTGATAGTTAAGAATTTTTCTAATTTTTCAACCGTTTAAGTTATGTTTCAAAAAGTTTTTTTTTTTCGAATTTCCTTCAAAAGAAGCAGCTATCAACATAAATTTTAAACTTTTGTATGTCATGTTTTGAAGATCTTCAAAAACATTTTTTACCATTAAATAAATGGAATAAACAAATAGCATATTATAATGTTTGTTGGGTGATATATCTTTATATTTTTTTATATAAACTTGGCAAGTTTATTTTTTTATTATATCCTTTATCGTAAAATAAATTTGTGAGTCCTGTGTGGCAGCATACCGGTACCTGAGTAGAGTTCTGAATTTTCTTTAGCTAGGAACCTATTCGAATACAAATGTAATAAAGCAATTAGAAATTTCTTTACCAAACAGATTTTCTACTACAAGGGGTAATGGAGGAGTTTTGTTGCAAAAAACCTATTCACATCCTAATGGGTAAAACCAAAATGTGCTTCCATTTAAATATTTATTGTAGAATTTAACATCGTTTGTAAAATTATTGCTAATGTTGCTAAGGTTTTGTCAATAGTTTGATTGTTTGTTACGCCATAGTTCAAGGTAGTTTTTGCTCAGTTCGTTGAAGTTAAGTTAAAATTCATACAGAGATACTGTATTTATTCTCACAAATGTTAACACCTCATTCCCGTCATTTTTTCAAAGAGTGACCATGTTTTCCATTGATTCATACTAATCACATTTTATGTGAAATTTTTAAAATAATAATTTGTCTCAAATGTGGGGTTTGTAAAATAATACAGTATTTTTAATATGCAGCACATCTTGCCAGAATGAATGTAGCATAGCATATTGTATTATCCATCAGAAATCAACCAGTAACCACCGTAGTAATCCATGTATGTAGCACTTTTAACTATTCCTTAGACCTATTTAAATATAAAATAGTTTTTTTACTGTCCTTAAACAGCAAAAAGTTGAATAAAAGAATAGGAACCATCAGAATAGGAATCATCAAAAATATATAATACAAATTTAACCTACTTATTAACTTTAACACATTCTCATGATTAGAATTTATTAATGTGTTTTCATCACACACAAGCTACAACCAAAAGTACACTTAGAAGCTGTCCCTGAAAGTGGATAACATCTACAAATAAACCAATGTAAGATGTGTATAGAATAAATTTGACATTGGTTGAGGCTCTACTATGTTCCAAATTTAAAATTATGTTTAGGTGTAAAATGAAACTCAGCGGGTTTTCCCTTTACTTATTGTCTATAAACTCAAATTATCTTATGTAAAACCTATATTTTGTTTTAATATACAGAAATGTTTTTTTTTTTATTATTATAGGCCTAGTGACTATATTTTAAGGGAAAGCATTGTGGCTGCTCAAGCAGTCTTTTTTTCTTTGAAAGGGATTAAGTTTAGTTAGCTTTGTACTGTAAAGGGGCGGACTCAGGGTCCCAACACATAAACCGAAGCATATTGTGCTTATTTGGCTTACCAGAGAAAATTAAACTTCAGGGGTTTATAGCGACTCAAACAAGTTTGCATATCTCAAAACTGATGTTTTGTTCTAATATACAACATAACTTGACAGTAAATTAATACGTACACTTTCTCTCTGTAGAGAGTTTTTGCACGAATAAAATGCCAGTGTTGTGTTAGATGTGACTTTTTGTGTATCTACAATTCTCTGGAAATAGTTTTCCCACGTAAGCTAATCACTTACAAAAGAATCGTAGTAACTGTAATTGTTTGAGCTTTAGCCATATTTGAGGCTTAGATGTTGACAAATGGTTTGGGTTTCAGAATTAGAATATATTAGTTCGCTATATGATGTATGCTCATCACCACAACAGCATGAAGCATGATTCACCTTACATTTTATTGAACTTATTACCTATGTATGGATTAATGTATCAAAAGATTAAAGTTTAAGAGAGGGTTTTTTTTAAGAAATACAAACACTGTTCTCTTAAAGGTGTACAAATCATACTCAACATATAAAAGTTTCATAAACACCTTAAATGTAAAAAAAAAAAAAAAAAACGGTTTCTGGATCTGTTTGATATTGGGCTACCTTAGAGATAGTATTGTTTTGTAAAACCCATCAAGAAAGATGGTATTGTTAATTTAGGAATGAGATTTTTTATAATTATTGTAGGCCTATATAACAAATAATTCTTGTAAAAGACACGATTAGGTTCCAAAGTTATTCAAACATTCTTTGAAATCATTTCCAAATCATAGGTACAGCTTTTAAAATAAACATGCTGTAATATTATCCAAACTTTAATGTGGCCGCAGGAATGCATATTTTACAAATATTGGAGAAGTGAGGGATCTTAAGGAAAATAAGGAGGCTTGTGCATACAAAGTCACAAAACAATTTTGGAATTTACTGGGTTGTTAGTTAAGTTTCAAGACTTATTATCGATTACCGGCGTTGACGCGATAGCAAGAGACAACCAGTGGTGATGCCGAGATCGCAGAATATGGCCATGGTTGTATGCTACAATTGCAGAAGACAATCAACACTTGTAAAAAATGCAAGTAAACACAAAAAAAGCAATGTTATCTTGGCTACATACATACAAATATAAGTCTCAATTTATTATAGGTGTATCTGTAAAAGCAGTTTGACAATATATTTGCAGAAAATTATATTGTTTTCAAGTATTGTAATATTTAATAGGCCTAATTAATTGTAAATCAATTAAACTTATGGGTACCAGGATGTCAAGCCGATCATGATACTGGATTAATTGGGAATTGTGACAGAATTTGGAAGACTGGACAAAAGCTAGTGTGAATTGTCAGTAGATTACGTAAATTTTGATTAGGACCAAGAAATTAAATTTTTTTAAGAATCACCACCAATAGCAATGGTGTCTTGTCCATTTATTCCCATAGAGCAAATGAATATTATATGCTCTATGTTCATTACCGAAAGAGAGAAAATCAAGATCGCGGGAAATACAAAACTATGGTACCATGATCACAACAGTTGCTCACGGGATGTTCCTGTGATCTCTTTTCTAATGTTGGTTTTGAGTGTTGGCCTTAATAATTACCTAATTTAGCCTACTAAAAAAATTAATAAATAACCAAAGTGACAACAGCCACACACGCAATTCGTTCGATGCCGCAGCAAGTATCTTTGTCGTCATTGTCAAAACGTGGCTGCTAAAAGCCCCTGTCAAGTTGGTATTAAAATACTGGTACCTTACTCACATTTTAACATCGATTGTTGGCACCCATACTTGTCCTAAAAATGGATGGTGCCGAGAATTTCCTTTAGGTATCAACACATAGTTAATTATAATGATATAAAATGGTTATGAGATACGTTTTTTGAAAATTTCTTCCTGCTCTCAGTGGGGGGGCATGGCCCCTGCCTTCCCCCCCCCCCCTTGGAGCCACCACTGGCTCCTGGAAGGCTTCCCACAGTGGAAAACTAGCTAGGTGTTTTGTGTTGACTTGGAAAGAAACTATTTCTAAGAATTTTAGTCCGCTATATTTCTTTTCCTGAGATCAGTCTTGAAACTTGACACACTCTGTATGTTGTTAAATATTTAGTTGGTGACATTGAAGTGTTGTGTGAAATTTAGTTGTATAAATATTTATTGTTGTAAGTAATTAAGGCTACATACTACAATAAAAGTCACATTTTTACAACCTCTTGAAGCTATATGTATTAAAACTTTTAAATCATTATACAGTAGCAGGATAGAATAATTTTTCCAAAACAAGTTTTAATTAGTTGTAGGGCCTAGAAATGATTAAATCTAAAAGATCATGTTCTTAAATGCAGGTATATTAATTTCAAGCAAATACTTAACTGCCATGATGCGCAGTGGTGTAGTCTTAAATTTTTGAGGACAGGAATGCTCACCGTTATTACAGAATAATACAGGTCGCTTATCGTAGTATATAGGTTCCTTGGAAAAAGTAGAGTGGGAACACCTTACCTACCCCACTGATAATCTATATAAATGTACCCTTTAATTTTATAAACATATAACCATATACAAAATTATAAATCCTTCTTCTCTTAATCAGGTTGATGAATAAAATCATAGATAAAACATACTCCCTTAGTAGATTTGTCATCCCTATGGAACAGCTGAAGCCAATTTTATTGTTAGTTCTGTACGTCCAACTGTAATGGGTTAGGTTTTGTTTACAATTTGTTTTTGTTATTTCAGTAATTTAAAACCTTATTTAACCAAATAAAACAATGTAATTATAAACAATAACTGGTCCCCTAGTTATAAACCAAATAGGTAAGCACAAATCATGAAAATAACCCTAAAATAATAGAAAAAAATTTGTCTACCCCAGCGATTCGGTGTGGACGTACATGAACTAGACACGAAAAACAAGCTTCAAAATTTACAATGGGATAAGGAGTCTACTTGTGTTGGTTAGTCTATGATAAAATATAAAAGAGGTTTATTCTATCAGTGTTGTAGCAGAACTTTTTAGTTGTATTGTCTACACAGTAGACACTAGACACTGTACAAAACTTGCCATTACAGGCTAATACTGTATCAGGTGGACTGGAAAACCAGTGGAATTGTGAAAATCTAAACTCTACTCTGTATATCTAGAATCAAATGTTGTGCATTTGAGGAGGAAAAGTATGTAACTGATCGTATTGGGGTGGCGGAATTGTACCCCCACAGGTTAGTGACGTCACAATGACGTCTCATTTTCTCGATCAAATTGGCGTGTACGGGGTGGAATTGTACCACCTCATAAAACTTTGATATTGTTATGCACGAGTGGTTCGATTAAATCCACTGGCATCTAAAAACTGTACGGACCGGAATTTAACCCCCCTGGAATTGTACCCCCCCCCCAATCAGAACTCACGTTTATTTGGCCAGTGTACGGGGTGGAATTGTACTCCCCTAGAATTGTACCCTCCGTCAGTCTAGCCCTTGTTCTAGGACCAGAATTGTCCCCCCTATTATACCTATTGTACAATAGGGGGTCCAATGAGTCCCCCCTGTTGTACCCCCTGGTGACCGCAGAAGAAGATGTACAGCTCGGAATTGTACCCCCTGGAATTGTACCCCCTGGAATTGTACCCCCTCCCCATTTGACTCAGGAGCTTGTCTATTATGATTACCAAGTAAAATCAAAACAATATTTATGTTGGAAATTAGAGGCGAATCACACGAAAGTGAACTGAACCAAGTTACCCAACCCATGAACAGATAGTACTTGGGAAATTGAAGAAAATATTAATGAATAGCGTACAAAGAAGTCCGTTTGCCCTCTCGTACGTTACTCGGAATGGCCTTAATTTGCAGTTTCTTAGAATATCACATTAAATACATTTCGTTAAAATCAAAGTGTATGGAGTGGAATTGTACCCCCCTAGGGTAGACGTCAAAATGACGTCAAAGATCGTCGGGGGGTACGATTCCGGCGACCCATCGTATTGTGTAGCTGTTTAGTTCCCTTTTGTTATGATTGGTAACTACAATTATCTCAAAATTTAAAAAATGTGTCTCCATCAATTTATTGAGGATCTGTTTGTGGATTGTTTGGCCTGGTCCATCCCTTGTTATTCTATTTTCCCCTGGGCATAATTATTTAATGAGTGAATTGCTTACTCTATTTTTTCCTGTGTTGAATCCAGCATGTACATGTTGCACGTTTTTATATATTTCCTTTGCTCCCTAGCTCTTGCTTATTTTTATTGCAAAGTTCGTGGAAGTATTCATGCAAAACTACACCCTTTTTTCTTTCTGAGTCATAGAATCATATGTGCTATTCTTGATTTATTATGGCTTTGGGCCAGGCCTTTTCTCGTCTTACTCTGCTATTTTCAATGAGTCGCTTAGCTATTCACTTTTTTTCCTCTTAACACTTTTGCTCTTTGTCCTTCAAGTTTATTATAGTATTTTCTGTCTAGATCTTGTCTTTTTTTAAATAAGGTTTCATTGCCTTTTTTAGTGTAAATGTTTCTCCTACATTTAATGATTATAGTCATGATTGTTTGTGTTTGGCAGCACAAAAAACATATGACTTCTTCAGAGCAATGCATAAGTTAAGCTTTATGAGCATTCAAAGCTTAATTGAATCAACAATACTTATGAGAACTTAGTTTGGTTGTGTTGATATAGTATAGGGGTGTGCGAGTAGTAAATTTATTGGTTGAATCAAAGTTACAATTTAGAATCTTAGAGTTTTTTTTTAGTCTAGTATTTTTATAGTGAGGTGATATGCATAGTTTCTTTATATAAAAATAAAGCTTTGCAGAATGATAAATTAGGAACTATTCTTTATGGGATGTACAAAACAATGTCAATTAGAGATTACAGTTTGCATTGTTTTGAAGTCCAAACTAAGCAAAATATACTTCTCTTCTCAGTTTCATCAACAACTATATTTAAATGGGTTTTGAGCTCAGTTGACAGTAAGAAGTATAGAATAACCTGTTAGAGTAGGTAAAGATCGTGAGTTTGGTTCAGCCATACTGTGAAAGTCTTATAGCAAACTCATTCAGGGCCGGATTTAGCATTTTAGCGCCCCTAGGCCCAAAGATTTTTCCGCCCCCTAGGTGGTTAAAGTTAATTTCCAACAAACATTTTATTAACAAAATATATCAGGATTACTTTATGTAATTGTTTAAACACCACTCCACAATGCAATTTAATCAATGAAAGTTTTTTTTTAGACTTAACTTGGTTCTGTCTTCAAAAAAATGCCTTCTTGAACACTTTCAGCAATTTTATACACTAAATTATAGCTCAAGTTTTTGTGGGACTGAAACAGAACGAACTAACTCGTAGAGAATTCCTACAACAAAGCGAGGGCATTGCTGCTGCCACAATGGCTTTACAAATCTGGCAAAAAACATGAACTCTGTACCTACAAATACAATTCAAAACCTCAACCAATAATAATAAAATTTACCCAAAAATAATAGAAATAAAATTTTGTCGACACCAGCGCCCAATGTCACCAACATGAACTAGACATAAAAATAATCTTTAGATTTTTTGTGATGAGATGTCCACTTTTGTTGGTTAGTCTAAGGCGATGCTGCATTTAGATTTGATTTGCAAAGCAAAACAAAGCAATATTTTGCAAAGCAATAGAGATCGATGGGTAAGACTAAGGGTAGTAACTCTGTCTCGACAATAACATTGGCATGCGCATGCGCCCCTAATCACTCCGAGCAGGAGCAGTAGCACCTAGCACCAATCTAGGCATAGTGGCAGTGGCGATGGCAACACCATCCCGCACCGTACCGCTCATAACATCCCTATAACATCTTCCCGTGCTCAAGACCAATGTTGTAACATAATAGTTGATGCGTAGGCCTAATGTTGAAAAATAGTTTTTTTTTAATAGTTAACATCAATTGTTCCATCGAACTTAAAAATGAAAATGCTATATTAGCCAGATTTTTTTTTTTAATAAATCCGCAAAATATGTAAAGTATTGGCTGTATATTTATATTTATAGAGATTTAAAAAATTAAAAGAAAAAAATCTTTGCCGTGCGCCCCCTGGGAGTTTGCGACCATTGGCCCAGGCCTACCTGGCCTATTGGGAAATCCGGCCCTGAACTCATTACTCTTATATATATAACTCTTACAGCAACAAATTTAAGGCTATGTTTTAAGGCAATTTGTGGCCACACGTGCTTTTATTTCAATTTATTTAAGTGTTGTTCTTCGTGATGTATTTATAGACTTTCTGACGACCTCTTCCGAGTGAATTTATGTTCTTCTATCACCTGAAGATGACCCCATTCTGGGTTGAAACCGGTCGTCGCTTATTGGTGATGTTGATTACACTTTGGTGTCTTTAAAACAAGTTAACTAAGTTTACAAGCAATTCTCATATGAAGCATGCATTTCACCGAACAAACAGTAAAATAACAAAGAATGATATATCCACATCTACAATTATCTAATTTCATTGATGGCTTGGTTGTTGCTGTGGTTATTGAAGCACACAATAGAGTTTTGTTTTGTAAGAAATTAGCTTTATCAAGATTTATTTTGTTTTAACAAACTTTCCAAAATATATCAATTGTAGGAATTCAATTTACTAATCTGTTTGTCCAACAGGTCCGCAAGAAGGAACCTCCGCACCCAATCAGAGTGGCTAAGACCATTGACGTCATCGCCCGCATCACCTTCCCCACAGCCTACGCCGTTTTCCTCATCTTCTTTTTCTTCCACTACAAGGGATCGTAATCCTAAAAACCCACCCAAATTTCACTATTCATCATGCAACTGTTTTAACTAGTGCAGCTTCTTCTGTACGGCTACATCAAACTTATAAAGTAGTTGCAGCGGTTTTTGTTTTTAAAAAATATTAAATTGCAAAAAGATAAACAACTTAGTAGATTTACACATCTTATCCACAATGATTAGCATATGCTTTACAAGTTTTAAAGCCAGCGATATTTTTTTTCTGCAGAAGAGGACTTTAAAGTTAATATGGATTATACTTATGTAAAATATCCAAGTTACCAAATTCTGTTTTATAATTAGGGTACTGTATTTAGTCACTACCGCGAACATAAGTATACAATGATTTTCGCTTGATTTATGCAAAATTGTTTTGAATGCATAACCCTTAAGTTATCTGATTTAATTGGGCAAAAATTCATTTTGTTCTTTGAAGAAATTATTCAAGCTAGAGATTGATGAAAACTATAAACAAGTTAGTTGCTTTTCATTCTTTACTATTCAAAGTACATTATTTGAAGAGTGTTCAAAATATTTTGTCATAACCAAAAGTAATTGCTTTTTTCAATTTTTTTAGATACTAGAGAATCATAGCTTCATAAAATGTATATACCTGTCTTAAGGGAAATTAAAAATTGTACGGTTGTATGCACAAAAAATATTAAACTTTAAGCCAGGTTATTTCAGTTTTTGGCATTAATGGTTATTAATAATTTTGTTGCCTTTTTGACATAGTTATTACTTTGATCATTCCCAAGTATTCATTTAATTTATTTTTTACATACCTTAGCCAAGTTAGTAATAAAGTATTAAAAAAATATAGTTTACAACAACTAACCATGTGTATTGTTATCATCAGATATTACTGTTATATTTACAAAAATGTTTTTGTGCAAGCATATGAACTAGTTTATATTGGCATAATGGTGAAGCTCACATGACTGGTTGTACATTATATTAGAACCGTATATAAACCGGGTGTTTCAAAAATCAGTTTACAAAGTATTTGTTTAAAGCAAATAATAAATAAATGTTACTTATATTATAATTTTGTTTAAACTGAATTTACACTACACATAGGTTATATTAAAAGAATTGTTCAAAATGTTTTCCGCTAACTTCAATGCACTTCTCACAGCGTTTTTTACACTTAATAATCCTTTTGCATAGATTTTTACGGTTGTTAAGGCTTCAAACTCTCTCGTGATGGCTGCTCTCAATTGTAAAACATCTAGAAGTGCAAAACATGATGGAGCTGGAGTTTGAGGGAATCTTCCTACAAATAACTGAATAACTTCTTCACTATTTTTATTTTTTTCATCCAACTTTATTAAAAGGAATATGAGCTTCTCGGTGATTGGTTTGCTCATGGTTACTGTCAACATGAAATGCAAATAACAATCTAAATCTAACCTCAAATCTAAACATAAAAATGTCAACAATGATCTTAACAGCTGATTTTGGCATTGCTGAAAACCAGGTTGTGCAACATTAGTTACGAAAGCATTGTGTTTTGTATAAGTCAGTTTACCTCAGTAAACTGGTAAACTCATTTGTGAAACACCCGGTATTATATATCTTTCATTGTTATTTTGTTGGTAGGCCCCTCTAATTAAACACACTGTAAACGGTCAACAGTTTCCCCTTTAGCAGGATTTTACAATAGATGTAATGGGTTAGGCAAGATGAGTAAATTTCCCATCATCAATTGAAGGAATCTGAAATAATTTGTCTAATTAACGTTTTCATAACAAGAGAACAAATAAAGATTCACAATCAGATATTTTTATGAAAGTTTTAAATGAAAAGGTTTATATCAATTGTGACTTATAGTAGATCCCAGCAATCCTAGAAGGGTTTTTAGGACTGAATTATCTCCACTTGTTACTGTCCTAGTTGTCACAAACAATTCTGAATCTGAGTTTCAAATCAATCATCTAACCTCATCTAAACCACTCTTTCCTTTAGAGTTAAATTAATGTGTGTAGCTTCTATATTAATTCATTCTTCTTCTATTGGTGTCTAAATTAATCAAACAAAAGGTTGTATGATGAATGTGAATACACCACTATTCATATAGTGTAAGTTTTCATACTAATAAATTGTAGTCACATCAATAAGTAACTGTATACGAGAAGTATGTTTTGTTTTTTAACAGATATTATAGTGGTTAGGTACTTTGATAGATGCTACAGTTGTACACTTCAAGTGTATGTTTCGTTATTAGTTAAACTAAAATTAACTATGCTAATGAAATAAGTTTGTAGCTTATGTTACACAGAGAGAGTTGATTAACAGAACATACTTCTTTGACAGTGTACCACCAATATTCCAATACACATTGTAGTACTGTAACACACAGCTGTGTTTTATCTGAGTGTTTTCTGTATACTTGTACCTTTTTATACTGATACTCTGTATATTTTACTCAGTGGCATTACTTTTTTTGTTGTGAAACTTATGTATCTCTACTCTAAAACAAATGTACGGTAATTATAAAATACTAAACAATCCATATTAAAAGCTGGTTTATTAGTTATACTCAAATTCAATTATTTTAATGTATAGATAGAATTGTAGACTGCATGTTGTGTGGTTTACAGTGGTTTTACTATGACATTATTACGTGTTTTAATCTAAAATGAATTAAATCTACTGTAGCTAAATGCAAAGACTCTTAAGTGTTTCCACAGGTCTTAAAAAACTCTTTAATATGTTTATAATAATAAATTAATTAAAATACAGGGTCATATTATGAACAGAGAAAATTTTGTATTTTATCACAATTTAACAATGTGGGCAATATTTTGTTCATTTGGTTATCTATCATCTTATTTTTTTTACTTTTGTTTTTCTTTTTGGGAAATATATTAACTAAATATAATACTTAACTATGGTCTAAAACTTAGTAGCTCGCCAAAATGTGTTATGCATATTTGATTGTTGTTCTTTGAAAAGATTATATTAATAATCAATTAAATTGTACTAAATCCGTGGGAAAACAACCTTTTGACCTCCACAGAAACTTTTTGTGAGGAAAGCTTTTCATATGATATTGATATTGTTGACTCTTCATATTATTTCTTCTGGTTTACCCAATGTACCAATAGCTTGATAACCAATCCAAAGTTTTTCATTTTATTAAAGTAATAAGAAACAATAATATTGTTCTAAATTTACACATAAAATTCATTTATTTATTAAAAAAAAAACATAACAACATGAAACGCCGTAGGAAATGTATAAGAATATTATTTATTTATAAGTAAAACAAATCTATGACAAATTACCTGACCTACAAAACAGATTAGTTTAATGGTTATTTTTAAATTAGGCCTACTGAAAATAAATATTAGTGATACAAATTTACTTTGATTTAGACTTGTTCTTCGCAGGATGTATTTATTGTACTGACTAAACAAATACAATGGCCTGGACATTATTAATCAACATGTAATTTGTTTCGATTGATTGTGAAAATTGTCATTTTCAGGTTACTAAATTAAGATTTTGTGTAATTTGTTATGTAGTATCTGGTGAATAAATAATATAGTGCTGACTAATTTTCAATATTTGACATCGGATACAAATATGTTTATATAAGTCACCAGTTATTTTCATTAGGTACTTCTACTTAATATGGTATTACTCAATCTATTATGTTTTCCACTTAAAAATGTTTATTGCGAAAATGTTAGTTACCACTTTAACTATAGTTACCAATGTGATAATTTCTAGTCAGAATTATAAATATATTTTAAGAATATCAGTCATTTCCAGTACAAATTAAAAATATTCATACTAAATCTTGTTTATATTAGTTTTAGTTATTGTTATTTAATACCGTACCTATTAATTTAGTATATTGTTAAAGCCCTTATTTGAGCTCACTTGTTTGTGATTAATTTTGTAGAATGTTTATAAATTAATTGTAATGACCAATTACGAATACAGTAGTCCTGCAAACTCAACACAGAGTAACTATGCGCTTATTCAGATTGTTTTTTTTATTATCCATAGGTTTAGAATTAATAAATAAGATGAAGTTTGAATAGTCAATAAATTAACACTGTTTCCAATTATAACATTAAACTGTGATCTATGTTAGAAGTCATCAAATGTTTTATTAAATTGCAGTAGTCTTCATATTTTATCCAATAATTAATTGTTTAATATGTATGTAACAGTTGATCAACATTTTGGAAAATTAAACATTCCAAAAACTCAAAAGGCACATTTTGTTGAGTTTGTAAGGGTACTTTATAAATCAAATAATTTCTTCATTAAACCATAAACACTGTTACTCCACATTTACCGTGTCTTTCTGTACTAAAATACTATTCAAATTGTTGTCTCCTAAGAAAACTACAAAAGTTGTCATGTCCAATTAATTGAAATTAAAACTATAAATGTTATTTCTCGTGTTATTGTGTTGTTTAGAAGTATATGATATTTTCTACCATATATCAAATGTTTTTTCCTCTGGTTGATGTTGAATGTCTGTATAAAGTTACAAAAATTATATTTAATTTTTTAATGTTTTGACTTAGTTTCAGCATCAATTTTAGAACTAATTGCTGCTGATAATTTCAATCACTAAAGGTTGCGTATGATTGTAAAGTAAACAATATGACCAGACAGTGCTGGATTTGCTTAACTTACTACTTTTTTGTCTAGTATCAACTAATAGGTCCTGAACAGTATGTGTTATCAGCTCTAGATCAAATCTTACATGACATGTGATAACCAAGACAATTTTGGTTTGCACATTTAAATCTCAATGTGATACTAAATTTATATTTAGCCTACATAACATAATAAAACCAAATACGAGTAGGATTTAATTTGCCAAGCACTTTTTCCCTCTCTCTCTAATGGCATTGTTAGGATTTTGTTGTTGTTGTTCTTATTGCCAAGCAAAAGAATGTCGAACTTTCTAAACCTATATAAATTGTGATAATTTGTATCAAATACAAGAAAATTTGTTAAAATTAATTTTAAATTATTTCAGTATTTTAATGTTTTATTAGATATGTAGTGTAGCTCAGTAGTTCTTTCACTATTGCCATACACTAAACAATGTGATGGGATATGGATGGCTAATTAGTCAAAGCTATTTAATATCAAGGATTAGTCAGTTTTATTGTCGTCATTTTAAATAAATGATGTTTATCTTGATATAAACAAAAAATCATGTTGCATGTGAAATTCTTTATTAGATAATTGAATGAACTGTTTAAAATTATGTAATTGTTTAATTTTCTATGTACTCACAAATGTGATCCAAAGTAATGTTTATTTTTGTAAAAATATGAAATTAAAAGTGTATATTTTTATGTGTCAATCATACTTATATCGCATTGAGAATGAGAATATTTACTGTAAAGATAATTAAAATTGTATCTTAAAGTTAAATATATCAATGTTAAAGTGTTTTTTTTTTATTATTAGTCTTATTTTACTGGAACTTATTATCTTTTATTGTTTTCAATGAGTATTTGGTTTTTAACTTAATGAAACAATATAAAAACTGGAACATGTATTACACCTTTTGTCTTATTAGGTATGAAACATTTATGACAACAATCAGTCTGCTATTTCCTCAAATCGTCTAAGTATTTTACTTGTTCTAAACTCGAAAGATATTTAGAGCATTTTTGTATGAATTTGACTAAAAAAAATACAATCGCAAGCTGTAAACCTTTTTGTAAATTTGTAAAAATTGTAAAAATTTACAAGCATTTTGTCTACTTTTACTAAGTGTTCGTTTGTAACATTTTCTAATGTAGTGGTTTTCAATTGAACATCGGTGATTATAATTACGATCACAGTTTGTAATGTAAATTTTGTGGTGATTATAATCGTGTAGGTGTGTCGTATCACTTAAGTGCACTGATTCTCACACATGCCTTGCCTGCCCGCCTTCATAAGACCTCCTACATAGTGTGGACTGGGTCTAGGACAGTAGACAGTAGGTAACAGAGAGTATTGTAGTTTAAATCATCCAACAAACAGTAATATATTCAGAGTAAAAACAACATTTATGTCCAAATGGTGGATTAAGAATGGCACTGTGGATGTAGATTTTTCTGCTCTTGAAGCATTTAAAAATAGCAAATTATGAGTTTGAATAATGGATGTTGCCATGTTGCTCAACTTTCCATGTTATGAAAATAGTTAAAGGTTTGATTAAGTGTTAACATTAGGTTCAGAGTCTTGCCGAGAGGGAATCACCTTAGCAGTGGAGTAGAAATCTACGTAAAAACCCTTTCATACTATTTGTCTAAAATGTATTGTACATTATAATTTTCATGAAAAGTCATAACCTTATTGCCACCAATCTAAAACTTATAATGAGTTCATCAACAAGAATGACTAAGCAAATTTCCTATAACGTATTTTTTAAATTTCAATCATATTAAAATTTTAAATTTTAGACCATGTATTTTAAATTACTGATATAATTCACCAAGTAAACTTATGTTATGTCTTTGAATTTATTGAATGTAGTTTGTTTTGTTTTAACTGCTTTGGTTGCCCATAGTCCAGAAGACCCAGTCCATACAGTCACTGGGGTCAGAGTATTTTAATGCACTGCATGAGTTATGTCAGTTATTTATACTAATCGCATTGTCCTAGTATGTGTGATTGCTGCACGAATATCTGATAAGAGTTTGAGAGCATGGAAGTGACTGTGGCTTGTACATTTTACACCAAAGCTTCTAAAAACACGGTGCCTTTTGCTTTTGATGTGTTACGTAAATGGATATTGTAACTTATCTTGATTTTTAATAAATAAGACTCGATCACGGTACTTAAATAGTTAAGTTTAGAAATCGGAGCCACTGCTGGCTTCTCGCGGCACAACGAAACATATTTAAAAGCCTTTGAATTTTTAATGTTAGAAAAATTAGAAGAAGCACTGTAAATAGATGGCTTGGCGAAGAAAACATACATTTGTCACTGAACCGTAAGATCCGCAGTGTAAATCTAAGAGTCTAGAGGCTATAGATTGGACATAGAGTTAGTCTTACAATATTGTATTAACTGCAGCTGATGGTGAGAAAGCAGTCAGAACAACGAGTCTTTATTGCTTCTAACTCACTTTTTATTACCGAAGGAATTTGCCTCACAGTGCCGCTAACTAGATACAATTTAGCCATGTTTGTAATTTTCAATAATTTAAAGAACTTTTTAAAATAAACCTTATTTTTAGTCAATTTCTCTATATATCACTGTTTTTACTGACAAGTAGATGAATATTAATGAGGTTATTTGATAAATTTTGTTATATCTAGGTTTGGTGCAGATACCTATTATTTCTTAAATTGATTTTATAAGAAACTAGTCATTGTTTAAGTATTTGTTGGACATTTAAATAAAGTGTTTGTAGTTTATTTTTTTTTTTCATTAAGGAAACATTTAAGTGCACTAGACTGTTAAGAATTTTGTGAAAATATTTATTGCCAAATGACCAATTAACAATGCCAGAAGTTATAATAAGATATATAAGTAAAGATAAATGAACAGACCAAGCTGTGAGTGGACACTCAAATAAAATGAAACAATTATTTTATGATTACTTTACTGTCTTATAAATTATTTATCGGGTGCTTTGACCAAATAAGTATTTTAAGCATGCTTTTTATTAAAGATAGTTTCTACTATGTGCACTATCTTGTGGCCCCTTGTTTGTGATCTTTGTAGTTTCAACTATTCTATTTAAACTACCCATTGTAAAATGGTTGGAATAGTAGCTATTTCGACTATTATAGTCTATTGATGCAGTGTTAACATTGTAAATATTCACAATTGTACATATTTTCTTGTACATTCGTTCAGAACAATTTTCAATAAAATATTATTACACCATTACTAATTCCTTTGTTTTTCTCATACCTTATTATGTTACTCTGTTCAGATCTGTTGATCATTGTGTTCTTTTAGCATATCTCTCAGCTAAACTAGTTGAAGTTGTGGACCTTCAAAAGGACAGTCTTAACTGAGGACAAACCCACTGATATTGAGAACAAAACAACATTTCTGTTACTCAGGACAGTGACAATAAGTTCAGTAATGGTATTTACTCTAAAACAAAAAATGGGATTTCTTTTGCTTGTTTGTAAAAAAAAATTTATTCAGCTGCAAATTTGGACAAATCAACTTTTAAAGCAGAAAGGACATTTCTTAGGGCCAATCAGATACAGAACCAAGTAGAGACTATTAGATGGAGTATATTCAGCTTTGGTGAGGTAACAGTTTTTTTGTTGTTTTTTATTATTATGCCAAAAGATTTCAATCATATTAAAAATGTAAATTATATCTAGATCATGTATTTAATGTTACTGATATACTTACTTCACCAAAGTCAAACTTATGTTATGTCTTTGAATTTTTCAATTCAAGAGGTGGTGGTTTGACGTTAGCTCTGGAAGTATAAATGTGCCATATAAAATGTCAGTGTTAAACAACAGGGTGTACAGGGTGTTTTTATAACGCAACCCAAATTACAATAAGTGTAAGATACATTTTAATGACAAAATAAAGCTCACATGTTGGTATACCGGTACCTATTTTCTTTACTTCATTTCCAATCAGCTGATATATTGTTCTATGAGTTTTAGTATTATTGTGAATTAACTGTCACTAAGACTCAACATCATGTTTTCGCCTGGTAGAATTGGCAACGTCACAAGTAGTGCTGTTTAGCGCCAGATGTCCCATAAGCTAACATGGCAGACAAATGTGACACCCGCTCATGTAATCTTGCATATTCATTTAAATTTTAATTTACGAATATAAATTTATTAAAAGATTAAAAATAAAACATTTAGTGTTCTAAAACAAAACAGCACTGACAGTGTTGCCACTTCGAAGGCCGCGGCCTGGGGTTAAAGGTGGCCGTGGCATGGTTTTTTAAGAGAAAAATTAATGGGAATTTAGACAATTTAAAGGTTGAAAGTTGATTTAAATTGCCAATTTGTTGGAGTATTGAGTTTTCTTAGTACTTTTAAAATAATACACACTTTTATACAAAAGGATTTGGTTATAAAAAAAATTGTTATTAAAAAGTATAATGGCACAAGCATAGATTGGTGTTTTAATATCCACCAATCCATTCCGTTTTTTCAATGAGTTGATCTCCAACTTAACTTATCTTTCTGCACAGACAGGCTAGAATAAGTAAAAAACTTGACCCTGTATTTCCAAACAGCTCAGATGAGCATACGAAATTTGGTATTTTTCAATGTTATTCCCCATTAGAATAACATGAGGGAGAAACCTTAATTTCGGGGGGTTGAAATTTGAAAATGTGACTTTTGGGAATTTTCCTGGGGGTTTGGGCACAAGACCTACAAGCGTGCAAAATTTCAACTCTCTAGCACTTCTAGAAGTGGTCTAGAATTCGTATCCCCCGGGAGTTATATATGTGAGAGTATAGTATTTTGAAAATTGTTAGCGTTGTTTGATTTTAATATTGCTGTTGTGTCATCAGCATAGAGAATAAGTGTTGAGTTTAAATTAAAAGGCAAGTCATTTATATAAATTAAAAACACCGATTTGGTATGAACCTAAAGGTGCCCATAGTCATGGAAATAAGGCAAGTTTGCAAATGGGATCCTTATCATGAAACATTTCCTCTCCATTCTTTAAGAACGTGAAGCTGCATGATTGTATAAATGAGATAGGCAACTGCCTCAAAGACAAACTCACATACATTTTATAAGTATATATTATGTAATATTTTTTCTGTAACTGAGATAAAGATAGAATATGCAAATACCTAGACTAGAGAATGTGCAATACAAATAGGATAAATGCTTAATCACTGTATTTTTGTACAATGCTAAAATCTTTAAGAGTGACACATATGTTTAAAGTGCTGATGTTATGGAAGTGGTGGAAAGATTTATGGGAAGTTTTTTAATTATTCTTCTCACAATTTACCTTTTAATATAGTTATTTATGGTTTTTTGTGATAAGAAAGTGTATTTAGCGTTATTTTGAGTGTAAAAAATATAACTGAATATATTTCTTGCAACAACTTTTCAGCTTTTGAGTTTTTTATGATCTTTGGAGGTTTGTACATCAGCACCATATGGTGGAAAGATTTAAAATATGTAAAACATGGAATCAGACTTTTATAATGTATAAACAAAATGTGTTGGTTATTAAACGTTTCAAAAAGATCTCATTATTTTCAAGACTATAATAAAAATCACAAATCATTTAAACACTACTGAAACACAAGATGAAAATGTGAATGAAAAATGTTTCTTCAAACCTGCTTAAGTTAAAGTTTTAACATTATATACAGTGCTCCTATAGTTTGTTCAAATAACAAAGGCAGTCTGGGATAGGATTTACCTGCAGCCAGCCAGCCAATGAATACAAACCTTATTCATTGGCTGCAGGGAGGCTCCATCCCCTCCCCACTATAGGTGTTACCTTGGTTGTTCTCCACAACCTCGTTTTTTAAGCCTTGTTTTTTTAACCTCGGTTGGTGATCTCCACTCTATCAGAGTATAGGTACTTTATCAGTCTGAATTAAATATAATTTTACTATTTAGTTTATTCAAGTGGTATACATGGGACAGAATTAAACACATCACAACAGTGTTTACATATGAATAAAAACAGTTACTTTATTTAAATGGTTTTTATGTACAAAAAGGCTTTTTTTATATATATGCATGTATCACAAACATTTAAAACAATTACAACAAGATCAACTTCTTATTTTTACAAGGGTATCTGAGTGAAAGTCTATCTCGGAGCTTACAAAATTCTTAACATTGTTTTTCATAACTATAAAAAGTATGTCTGTATGAAAAGCCTCGTGGAGGGCTTGCAGTACAGGGTTGATCTCTCCGTGGTTGTTGCATATAGTTGGGCCAAGAGGGTCATGGTGATCTGCTTTGTGGGGTTTATTAGGACCATATATTCTTCTATTTGACAGCCCTGAAATAAAATTAAGATTTGTTAATGTTTGTCATAATAGAACCAAAACAAAAATTGAAAGTGTGAAAATTTTACCAATCCACAGTCTAGTCCAATTATTGATACTAACTTGAATACTCAAAAGTACCATACCATTGAGTATGGTACGTTAAAACAAAAATTCATGTGGATTGGAAACTTAAAGATTTTGTATATATAGGAAACATTATTTTAAAAATGGGTAACTTTGTGATGGGCTGAGAGGGTATTTTATTTAAAGGAAGTACGAGGGCTTGGATAGCAAAAAAAATGTAATGCAATGGAGACTATACAATAAAGTCTCCAAGGACTCTCGTCGGCCTAAAGCGAGCTAGTTCAAATCTGAGTAAGCGCCAATATATTTACTTCATCCACTACTCATCTAACTGGTTCCCACCCAAATGCAACGGTAAGTCTCGTGAACCATGTAAAGGAAAAGTATGAAAACTGATTAGAGTCTTGAGGTTTTAGCGTCAGCCGATAGTTAAGTCCACCGTCATTTGACGAACATGGATAAAATAAGGTGTTTGAATGTGGATAATTTTTGTAAGGGGTGGAGAGATTTTGGGGGTGGTTGTAAGCATTTGGGCAATATTTATGATTTCTTTTGTGGTGGAGGCTGGCTGTGTTTGTTCATTAGTATTGTTTAAAGCAGAGTGACCAAAGTTAAGAGGAATTTGAATGTGAATAGCTGCTTGTTAAAATGATATGAGATGTCATATATCAAGGACAATGGTAAACCCTGCAAGTCTGAGCATGCCGAGCAGCAAGCAAGGTTCCCTCAATTTTAATTTACTGTCTCAATGGAAATTGTCAAATACTCACTGCTGATATTGTTCTTAAACGTGTAAGGCTTTCTTTGAATTCACAAAGCTAATTTTTTTTATACAAAACAACTCTTTCCTACATACTCATCTAAATAATAAATAAATCTAAAATAAATTGGCAACGGTTTTGTAGCAAGCCGTTTTTCCTAGTAGGATAAGATATTATTTTATAACTGCATGCCTAATATTGACATCAACAAGCGGCAGCGGACTCCAAAATGCCGTTTTGTTGCGTACCATCACCATAATAACGGTGTCCACCAGTGGTACAAGTCGGAGTTTTCAAAACTTAATAAATTGGGGAAAAAATTATCTGAGCAAACTTCTTAAATAAAGCTGGTACAATGAATAAGACAAATGCCCGTACCAACGATCTGAACCGATAGCACTGATCTCTACTCCACACCAGAGCACCTTTTAACACGTTCGCAGCGGCACGTCAAATGGCGGGCGTATCCCCAGTACGGCGCAGCCCTCAGCGCCGAACAAACCCGATTGCCGCGTGTGATTGGCTTTCCAATTTCGGTCTGACGAATAGCAAATAACGTGCGAGGATGTCCTGCTTTACAACGAGAGTCGACGTAGTTCGCTGAACACCCACAGATAGCAGCACTGCTTGGAACGTAGCCGGTCCCATTGGAATTGTATTGCCAAATGGATGGAAAAAGACGGGACAAAAAGTAGATTTTAAAATTGCCAAACGGGGATTTTACGGGGAAATTTACTACCAACCTACACCACAACAAAATACAGTATACTATTGAGCAGTACTGTGCGAGGTTTCAAGTTTCTAGCTCTAATCCTGGCTTAAAAATAAAATCATTTCGTACCGCATTGCAGCTTGGGAGCGATCGCACCCACCAGGATGGCATTAGGGTTCCGTATGTGCCCGCCTCACATGCCGCCGCGAACGAGTTAACACTACAATAGGAGTTTTTAGAATAGGTAGTTTTAGGGGATAAACAACATAGGAGTTTAGCCAAAGGGAATGTTTGCACTTATTTTTCAGCATTTGATATGTAAAGAAAAAATACAGCCAACGAGTTTGTAGCTTTAAAATGAGTAAATAGTATAGGAAAAGTTATTTAAAACTTAGTTAATATATTTCAAATTTTCTGTTACTTTCCAGATCTAGGTCTTCACGAGACCTATGTTACTAGCATATTCCCTACAGGGGAAATTTTCCACATGGGCTGAATTCAGTGTAACTTTTTGTTGGAATTCTGAAGATAAGCTAGGCTTCTATCTTCAATTTGAGTTCAATAACAGAATTTTTCTAATAGACCAATGCCTTTTATCTGCCCTATAAGAAAATAAATCACTCTGGGTGATGTTGGGAAAATGAGGAAGTTAGTGTGTTGGTGAACCTCATCATAGAAGCAACACACACAGCTATGTATCTGCTAAGTAATAAACAATTAATTTTAATTTAGGTTGCAATATCTATTCCGATTTCCAATGAACAAACGAATAAACAATTTTGAGTAAAACTAAACCTTAGCATGTGGGCTATATAACCAATACAGGTAGAACATAATACGTTACAAAATAACGGTTTGTCCCAATCTTTCTTGCAGGCCTACTATCTTTGGTTTTTTGGTATTTATTTGTTGTTGTGTTATTATAAGCATAGAAACCGAAGTCTCTAGATTCTTAGAAAATGTCGGTTTAGCAGCAGTTTTAAAATTCAGGGCATATAAACCGACCTCTATTGACGCCTGCCACGTTTTGCGGCAGGCCTGTCAGTTGAAGAGTATCTCTTCACAGCCTGTGATTGGGCTGAAGAACCTGCCCCTCCTTGAATTGCTACATCACTTCCTGATGAACCCTGGAGACTCCCGGAGCTAGAGATCGCCGAGGCATCACCAGGGTCAGCAATGGACCCTGCAATGGACACGGTGGAGGACTGGGCTGAAATCAGAAGACATGATCGTAGGTGAAATGTAAGATATTATATTATAAACAATAAACATATGTATTAGTTTCATATGAAATTTGAATTTGGATATTTAAAGTTAAAGGCAACTATATTTTAAATTAGACTTTACTTATGTATAAATTGACGACATTTTACTTATTCTTCTCAACATATTTTATACCTGGCTAGTATTGTATGTATTGTATTAGTATTGTATATAATTGTAAAAATATTATTCATATACAGGTTTGGGGCTTTTGGTACAGAAAGAGGTGGGACATGGGCGTCCATGTTGGCCTAGGAGGATTAAACATTAAGGAGAGGGCACGCGAATAGGAATACACGTGTTGCGGTGAAGCCAGGTTTAGCAGAATACTAGAGGGGCACGCGGAGCCGTAGAGTGGCAAAAAGCCTCGGCTATAACATGGGAGAGATAGGGAAAAACGCGACGCGCGCTGTTTCGAATTAAAATTGCCGCTTAACTAAAACACCTGTGTTATTCACCGATGGCATTCTTAAAGTAAATTAAATTTCCAATCGAACGGTATCAATCATTCCTATGAAAACTATTATTTATTATTTATTATTGAAGATCAAAGTTGAAAGAATTGACCTGGACTTTGAACATATGATTACTAAAATTACGTTTTTGAAAAAAATATTATGTATCTACACAAATTAACAATTTATTTGTGTTCCTTAAGAGTTTCTCGAAATAAAAAATATATATTTACCTGTATTTAAAAGTGGTATTTAGAAAAATAATTACAATAAAGTTTTTTTTTTATTTTTACAGTTTATAAAACAATCTTTCTAATAATAGGTTAAAATGAAAATTTTAATTCGGGTGGTGAAATACATTTTAAATTTGCATTTTTCATAGTTTTCTCGATTTGTTAATATCATTTTTTTACTAGTTTTAAGTCATTTATGTGCTAGGCAGGTGATTTTAAACAGTCAAAGTTAAGAAAAAATGCAAAGCCGCTCTAACTTTTTTTACACCAACAGCCGTTACAATTAAATTACAATCATAAAAAGTAAAACAATTTCTTGGCAATCAAATTCTTGATTTTTTTAATATCACATTGAACTATATTTGATTTTTTTGCCCAAAGAAACTTCGAGTAAAAAGTGTAAATGTTCAACAATCATGTGTAAATGTCTTCTGACGGCCAAAGTGCGTTTATCATTCTTATAAAGGATTAAAACTTATTTTATTTCTCTTTAAGAAAATGTCCAAATACACATACAGTACTACTCATGATTTGAGTTTTAATTTATGAACAGTAAAATCCATTGGTGATATGGCAGGAATTGAACCCGGGACCCCATGAACCGGAGTCCCGCGCTCTTGTTAGAGTATTATAAATAATACACAATACAAGTATGTCAAAAAATAAAAACAAGGACAACGAACTCTAAAAAACAAGTCGTCCTTGTGTAAATTACTCACCTTTGAACGTACTATTGGTTCATAAATATGTCTTTCCTCTTAATAGGTTCCTAATATTACGGTTAGAATTTAACTTTTTAATTTTCGTAGCATGATGAAGTCTAATTTTTAAATAGTTAATTGATATTTCTGTTACCAAATCTTCCAGTAACGCATACAACGCAGTATGAGAGGGGGGCGGGAGAGTAGCGCTGCCTCCCCCCTCCTCAGTACGCTGGCTTCAACGAAACTACAGCGTGTCCTCTCCTTAATGTTTAATCCTCCTAGATGTTGGCTGACTTTTGATCCATGTTGTCGCCCATGTTAACCATGGACATGAGGAGGTAAGGAGGTCTTTTACTCCTAAGATCACCCATTTTACTAGGGTTTATTCCGTACCCAACCCCCTTATAGAAAAGTCATATGGACGCCCATGGTGGAAGCGGACACATAGTCTTTAAAGCTCTGGACAGGCTATGCTGTACCAAAGGGTTAGGTCCGTGTCCTGAGCCAGGTATAATATTGTTCACCGGTGCCATGGCCGGTTTTACTATTACTCAACTGAGTTCATGTTAAAGGAAACCAAGCAGCCCAGTAATGACAAGTATTATTAAAAATATTCTTCAATATTATAAATAAAACACAATTCAACATTGATGTTTATCCAAATATCTGTGTAAATTTCATATCAATTTTACATGCAAATTAGTCAACATTAACATATTTTTATTTGTAAAGATAAAATATGTAGACTTGAATAAACTGTTAGGATGTTTAAACAATAAATATACAGGACATATGGGCCTGACTCCTTTGGATCAGCCATAGACTGTGCCTAGCTATAGTAATTACTGAATGCAAAATGACCCAATTCACCCAGAGACATGATAAAATTAAGTACCCCCCCCTCAGCAAACCTGTAGACTAAGAAAATTACAATTTACATGGCTAGATTACCACTAAAATTGTCCCTTTAAATTTGTAGATTGATTTCCTATTCAAATAAAATTAATTTGAATGAGTAATTAGGTTTGTTGTTACATTGAAGGTAGTGAGGTCTTTTGTTGTTGTTGAATCGTTGATAGCTTAGTATGAAATAAATCATAATTAGAGAATCGCATCAAAATATATCCATAACCAATTAAACTACTGTACAAAAATTAATTTATTTATTCTCATAAGAATATCATGGGAATTTTTAATTTAAACTTTTTCTGAATTTCCTCCATAACCGTTAGGCATACAATAACTCTTACTATATCACTTACAATATACTAAACTATTACTTTTTTCAAGCTTTACAAAATGGTTTGGAAAGAAATATTGAAATTTTATGTTTTTAGGGTCAGTAATGGGAAAACCCAATTTTTACCCCGTAAAATCCACGTTCCCATAGGGGGGCTATAACACAATTTTTCGTCACTTAACCTCCCCCCTCGCCCATGTAATGCACCATAACGCTTAAGCAATCCCCCTCCCCAAACCCCTTGGGTTAAGTAACTCTATATTAGTAGAGTTTAATAACAGCTTAAAAAGAATAATTTTACTAGTGGAAATTGGATTTAAATAACTCATTCAACTTCTAATGACTTTTGATAAGTAACTTTTTTATAATCAAAGCAAAATTGATACAAACAAACAAGATTGTTACTAACAATATAATAAAACAACAAAATAAATTATCCTAATTAAAACGGAACTAATTTAATTTATAAGTAATCAATTACATTAATAATAGCGTTACGCAACACAGAGCCAAACCAAACCCACCCCCTCCGCCATATAATGCAGCGTAACGCTCTGTCATACCCCCCCTAACAGCGTTATGTAATATGTGTAAGGCCCCATAATCCGATCATGCTGGTTTGCAAACTCATTTAAAAAAAAAAAAACATAAGTTGACAAGTATGTACTAAATTTCATCATAATCGGATCATTTTTGCTAAAGTTATCGCGGTAACAGACACACACATGTAAACATATACTGTATATTTGAAGGGAGGGTGCTTTTATTGCCTCTGGGGACCTCAAAAAGAAAAGTAAATTGGTTCCGAGTCAAGGTTCAAAACTATAGACATTTTGAAGAGGTTAAGCTCAACTCAAGTTAGTTTAATCTCATTTTCAGCTCAGAAATTTTTTTTTATAAAATGTTAAGGGTCAAAACATATATGAACTTTTGTATTTAAAACCCTTTCAGACCCAGCAAACTCATTTTTGTAGGTAAATTTTTAATTTTTAAGTCCTGACAACCTAACCAACACGATTGTGTAGGTTAGATGTTTATTTGTTTTTTTGAAGTTTCTGGATCTTTCTGTTGCTCAGACCTGTACGCATTGATTGTGTAGGTTGGAGTTTTGGAGATCAGCTGGGAATTTTTGTTTTGCAGTCTGCCTTCATGTCTTATGGTAACACTGATTGTTTTGTTGCAATGTCACGGTAAGATAGGAGAAAGAGGCAACTGTTAAGGTTAATGACTGTTTTATTTATGTTTTTAAACTTATATAATGCTAATTATTGCTGAAGCTGAAATGATTAATATGGTATTATGAAGGTTTCGTCTTTAAAACAAACCTAATCAATATTTTTAGTATTTGAAATCTAGGTTAAAAACCAACATTTATTCAAAATTTGCTCAGGACTTAAAGCGGTCGAGATGACTAAGATTCCTGGGTCTGAAAGGGATAAGAAACAGTGAATAGAGTAAAATATGAAATAATGCATTGTCTAATTAAAGTAAGTAGGCCTAATTAATCACATCAGTGTAATGACAAGTGTGTAAAGATTACCATCAGCAGATTGACATTCTGGGTTGGGCCACTCAAAATCTTCGATATCGTTAGGTGTTGACGGCGTAATTATATCTGTTGATTCTAACCTGAAATGAATAGATTAAGAATTATTATAATTGTACATGTAAGATATAAAGATGATACACTATATCAGCTCTATAGCATCTCAGGCACGATCAGAGACATATATGGGTTTAGAAGGTGATATTTCTCTAATTAAAAAAAAACAACTAAAAACTGTTTGGACTTGTACATGACTTCATGATGTTTGTAGCCTACAACTTTTTAAAACTCAAATTGTGCGGAATGTCTCAACGAATTCAACATCATATTTCTTACTAACCATTCCAGGGCTTCTCCCACCCCCACTTGGCCTTCAAGATGTTCAATAGGCTACCAGCTGGAGATAAATGAAGGGCTCCCACGAACAACGTGACATACGCCAGCCTTCCTCTAACAGTAGGGATATTTCGTTTTGTCATAACTGCAGTGCTACCAACGCCTGCTACCAACAGTTTAGTGGAGCACGTGTTTCCCAGACTCCAGCGTTCTATTGAGTCCCGGCAACCAATGTAAGCTAAATGCCAGTAAAAAACGTAAATTAAAACTTGTACGGAAGGATAAGATTTGCAAGAAGTCAAGGGATAGTGGGGAGCCTTACATTTCAAAAAGGAAGAAAGCAGTTCCTGGCAAACTACCACCAAGTGGGGTAAGTGGAACAAATACCTTCAATCGCCACCTCTGGTGCTCCTGTATAAGAAAGTTTATTTTTTATTAATAATGTTATTTGATGTTTTATTGGGCATATCCTGTTAAATGCCCAGTGAGCGTTTTCAAAAAATATTTTGTAAAGAGGATCCCCTTTTGGCCAAAAAAAATCCCAAATAATAAGTTTTTTTTTTTTGGATCTATAATGATTTTGGTAATAGGTTCGTATGAGTTTATAGTACATATTTTCTTCCAAAAGTAACTGTATCAATGTAAATGTAACAATTTTTGTTTTTGTTTCAGGGCAGAGTATGTTCTTGCCAGTTTCAATGCGAACAGCTAACCTACGGAGAGAAAATGAATTTCCACAAGCTGGACTACAACAACCAGTCGCAATTCCTGGCCAACGCATGCATTAAGGGGGGAGAAGTGAAACAAAGGAGGGTGAGTGAAGATGTCTCTCAAAGGCATTGTTGTTTTATCATATTGTTAGTAACAATATTGTTTGTTTGCATCAATTTTGCTTTGATTATGAAAAAGTTACAAATCAAGGAGTCATTAGAAGTTGAATGAGTTATTTAAATCCAATTTCCACTAGTAAAATTATTCCTGCAATAGGCCTAGGTCACACCAAAAACAACAACCGAAACTTCCACAGAGCTTGAATGAAATTGATCAAAAATTAAAAACATGGCGGTAAACTCAAGTCCACAGCAGAAAAGTTCATCAATGGCGTTATTTATAATAACGTTACTTAAGTAACTCATTCGGTCGAACAAACGGATTTGGTCACCCTGGATTGAATACGATGGCAAATAACATAAATCTCAATTTTGTACTGATAAATTACCGTAATGTAAATTTTGTTTAAAAGTGCTACGGTGAAAAGACACTTAAAGACATTAGAAGTTTTTAATAGGTATACAATTTGTGATTTTTTTTTTAATAGCATTTGATTGTTAACGTTAATGTTTTTGGATACTGTGATCAAATAAACTGTAAATTTTGTCCTTAAAATGTTTGTTTTTATTGATAACATTACTACAAACCAATTTTAAATACCTTTTTCTAAATACAGGGGTAAATTTTACCTAGATTCCACAACCTTGTTTAAGAAAATATTTCACAGCGTTACGTTGCAGGGTGGGAGGGATTTGGGCTTGCGTTAGCAGCATCACAGGGGGGTAGGAATGTTTTACAAGTATATTCATATTCAAATGACAAAAAGTTACGTAATATGTGGACGGCCCCTTATCTATTACTGACAAGAGTCATATAGTTCTTGTTAAAATATATTAAAATTCATTGTTGTAGCCCCGGAACTGTAATATATAAAATATTTGGTTTTACAATACCTTTATCAGTTCCAAAAGTAACTTTCGTCAACGTGTGTTACATGTTTTGGCGAGCTGCCGGAGCTGTATTGAAGTGTTTGACAATGGCAGCTTGCCGAAACATGTAACACACGTTGACGAAAGTTAAAATATAATCATTTTATTTTTAAGGTTCGATGATTTGATTTTTGTTGAATGTATAAATTACAATTTTTATTTTGATACTTGGTCCAGTAACATGACTGCATTAATGTTAACCCTAGTAAAAAGGGTTTTATAATCTTGATATTTTTATTTTGTTTGATGGCTCAAAAAAATTGATTTGTCTTTATTAGTTAATTAAAATTAATTTATTCCCAACGGCAAATTGCCAATACATACATGAAATTACAAAAAGTGACATGCAATGATACAGTGAAGTAGAACATAGTGCAACATTAACCAAAGATAATGATAAATAACAACAAAGCTAGAAAATCAAGAGTTAACAAATAACTTGATAAACAACAATAATTAAACTAACAATAAATTAACAAGAGGAAAACAATAAAAATGTGTGACGGAAGATTCTGAAGATATGAGAATAGATAGTACCTGCTCATAAATGCTACTCCCCCTTCTCCTATTGGGTTTGACTGAATTCGTTGGCCCTGAAGTTGAGCCAGTCCAGGGGTTGATCTTACTGGATTTCCTACATCATCCCCTGATGAACCCTGGAGACACCCGGCGCTAGAGCTCGTTGAGATATCAGGGTCAGCGATGGTAGACGTGGTGGAGGAACTAGCTGAAATCAGAAGACATGATCATAGGTGAAATACAAGATATTATAAACAAATGCATTAGTTTCATATATACATTATATGCAAGTTTTCACATAAATTTTGAATTTGGACATTTAAAGTTAAAGGCAACTATATTTTACATAAGACTTTATTTATATATAAACTGGCAACATTTTACTTACTCTTCTTCACATATTTTATATTAGGTTTGCAAACTCGTTTAAAAAAAAAAAAAACATAGGGTGACACGTTTGTACCAAATTTCATCATAATCGGATCATTCTTGCTTGATCATTCTATCACTAACGGACACACACATGTAAACATATATTTGAGCGGAGGGTGCTTTTATAGCCTCTGGGGACCTCAAAACGAAAAAGTAAATTGGTTCCGGGTCAAGGTCTCACCATGATAAATCTAATAGCTTTTTCCCCTAGGCTATATGGGAAATTCGCTAAAAGGAGAAAGCACTAACATACTTGGACATTCACTTTAACTTCAACACTATAGACATTTTGAAATTGTAAAGCTCAACTCAAGTTAGTTTAATCTCATTTCCAGTTCAGAAAAATATTTTTTAGGTCAACCTATATAAACTTTTGTATACATTTCAGAAATTGTGAATAGAGTAAAATATTAAATAATGCATTGTCTAATTAAAGTATGTCGGCCTAATTAATTACATCGGTGTAATAAATAGTGTGTAAAGATTACCATCAGCAGGTTGAAATTCTGGGTTGGACCACTCAAAATCTTCGTTATTGTTAGGTGTTGACATGGTAATTATCACTGTTGATTCTAACCTGAAATGAATAGATAAAGAATCATAATTGTACATGTAAAATATCAAGATGATACAGTAGACTCCCTCTTATCCGGACTCCTCGGGACCGAGGCCAGTCCGGATAACGGTTTTTCCGGTTAAGCCGACGTCTCCAAAAACTCATTAAAATGGACCTTTTACGGTGATATTCGACTTAAATTTAGGCATTGTATTTAGACATGTGATCACTGGTCTCAAATCTTTCCCACGAGAACAGTCGTTACAGTACCGCCCACATCCAGCCGATCTAGTCCGGTTAAACCAATGTGCCGATAATAATTGTCCGGTTAAAGAGATGTCATTTCCGTCGACTGTAGTCCGGTTAAACCGATGTCCGGTTAAAAGGTGTCCGGATGAGAGGGAGTCTACTGTACACTATATCAGCTAGCATCTCAGGCACGATCAGAGACATATGGGTTTAGGAGGTGATATTCTCTTTAATGGATTCTGTAGTAATAAGTTTAAACTAGAAAGTAAAATTAATTTTAAAAAACAATTAAATCAGAGTGGAATTCTATATGATTTCATAATTCTTAATTTTTTAAAAGTACGGTACTTTTTTGTAGCCTACATATAACTTTAAAAAGGACTTGGAGTTAAAAACCAATAAATAGTATTATTGTTATATGTTCAGGAGTTCCAAATTAGTTATTTTTGCTTTAGCATGTGTGTTTTAGATTCATTTCAAATGTAGGCCCTACTTCATAGTAAAACCCAATCTCTTGATACTCTTAGGCTCTTGGTCTAAAAATGAAGGCTATGACTTATTTTTGATGTGTCGCAATCCCTTACATTTAACCTTTGAAACTATTTTCCAGCCAAAAACTATATCATAGAGTATTCAGTGTTAACGCTTGTATTTAATAACTATTTTGGCTTCTTTGTTTAAAGTTCATTGTTGGTGATGGAGAGTTAATGTTGTTCAAAGGTTTATTGCGGACATTTTCTATCACGATGGTAAAAAAACAATACCTACCCAACGTTTCGGGATCTGGGATCTGATCCCGTCCTCAGGTGAAAAAAAACTTAACTAAAAATATATAAACGTCCAACCTAAGTTGGAATCATACAGATGGTAGCAATCAACAAATATGCACTGTATAGCAGTCAAGTCATGATACAACATGCAAATAGTATCCAATTACAAAACACTATTGTCTATTAAAGGTTTAGTGTGAACAGCTCAAACAATGGAACACTAATCGCATAGTTCGCAATGACTCCACCAAGGAGACTGAAGCATCATGGCCGATCAATCCGAAACCGTGAAACAACCGGAAATGACGTCCGGTCCCTGCAAAAGTAAAACCAACAAAATGGCGAACCCATTTTCAAGAGACCTTAATAAAGAGCTTAAACAAAAAAATAATTTAGTATCAAAGTGTTTTTGTACGGTTATTGGTAACGGAGAAATTTAAAAAAAAAATTAAATTTAAAATTCCCATGTTATTCTTATGGAGAATATTGTAAAATGTTGTAGTTTGCTTGTTTATGGATATATTTTGATCAAACTTGGCAAATTTATTTATTTAATACTAAGCTATTAATATTTTACTAGAAACTGCACTTTATTAGTTTCCTTGTAGGAGCAAACGTAGGTACTCGTTAAACCTGATGTTATTTAAAAAGATTTCAATTCAGAAAATCAATTCAGACAAATGGAAATTCGCTTAGTCGGCAGGTTTGCTGCGGCGGGGGTATTTTTTATTAATTTGATAGTCTTAATCATTTTATTAGCCTATTCCTTACTTACACTAAATAATTTGTAAATGGTTGAAAAATTGCCATGTACATAGCATACTACGTAAACATAGTGGAAGGGGGCCCGAGCTCTGATTCTGGTTACAGGTTCCACAATCGAATGTGGGGGCCATGCCCACGTTCCATTGTGGCCCACCCTCCCCTACAGTGCATATTTTTTAACTGCTACCATCTGTAGTGTATTCCAACATAGGTTGGGTGTTTGTGTATTGTTAGTTGTAATGTGTTAACTTAGTTAAATTTTTTTCACCTGAGGACGGGATCAGGTTCCAGATCCCAAAACGTTGTGTATTGTTTTTCTACCATCGTGATGGAAAAATGTCAGCAATAAACCTTTGAACAATAACTTATTCGGCTTTATTACGTTTATACTAAATTTCTAGGTAAAAATGCTAAACTCAGTCAACACTCAAAAAATTAATCAATTTTTTAATGTTAGCCTAGTTTTTTGGTGGTGATTCCAAAAATGATAGTAATTTTTTGTGGAAAAGTCCCGATTTTGCGGAAAAACACCTTTTTGCCTAATAGTCTTGTTGCAGGTACCGGTAGGCCTACTCAAATTGTGTGGAATGTCACGACAAATTCAACTGTATATTTCTTACTACCATTCCAGGGCTCCCCCACCCCCACCTGACCCTCAAGATGTTCAATAGGCTACCAGCTGGAGATAATTGTGTGGATGATAATAGTTTCAAGAATTAAAGTCCTGGCTCATTACTCTTTGACGACAACTTTAGTGACCTCGTCTACCCAACAAACCATTGACGCAATCAATCCAGCAACACTGGTCAAAGACTAAAAGACTAAGAGTCATTTATCAAGTAGGCTAAGTAAGTATCCGTCAATCTTCTTTCAATTTCCAGGCTGAAAACGGATATATCCTAACGAATTGATATACATTATTTATAATAGAAAAAAAAACATTACACTGCATTATAATTGGGTTATTTTGTTTTTGTGGTTGGCAATAATAACTGCCGCAGCTGTTTCAGCTATTATTTTGCACCATAGAGTGTGTGAATATCGATTACTTATTGCGAAACGTTCACTTCACACACTGGTTTTTCGTGAGTGATGTTTACATTCGTGTTTTGTGCTCTATTTTATGTTATTGAGCTTAAGTGACCAAACCTATCTGAAATTTGAAGGAGATGTTATTGAGATGCTTGATCAAGTTATGTCTGAGGGGGATTTTATACTTGGTAATAAAAATAATGGTATGGAACGTTCGAAGAATATGATGAACCTGAAGAACAATCTTTCTTGGTAGGGCATGGGAATGAGGACATAGGAGCAGAACTGAGTGGTTTAGATTTACTTCAGAATAAAAGATCCATTTTTATTCTGATAAAAAATAAAACAAGAATTGGAAGGAATACAGCCTAAGGTTGATAGATATGTCCGTCTGCCGCCGACAAGAATACCTACTCAAGATTATTGATAGTGATCATACTTTGTGATTATCGATAAGGGTGGCAGACGAATATCCGTCCTATAAGTTATATGTTTTTTTGTCCAAAGACAGTTATGTGTTAAATAAAATTTAATTTTCATCTTCTTAACTTTTGTACAAAAATTAATTCAACGCTAAGGAAAATCTTTTTACGATCCATTAATTATTCTAACCAAAGTATCCCACCCCCTCCGCCATATAATGCAGCGTAACGCTCTGTCATACCCCCCCCCCCCCCTAACAGCGTTATGTAATATGTGTAAGGCCCCATAGTCCGATCATGCTGGTTTGCAAACTCATTTAAAAAAAAAAACATAAGTTGACACGTATGTACTAAATTTCATCATAATCGGATCATTTTTGCTAAAGTTATCGCGGTAACAGACACACACATGTAAACATATACTGTATATTTGAAGGGAGGGTGCGTTTAGCCTCTGGGGACCTCAAAACGAAAAGTAAATTGGTTCCGAGTCAAGGTTCAAAACTATAGACATTTTGAAGAGGTTAAGCTCAACTCAAGTTAGTTTAATCTCATTTTCAGCTCAGATTTTTTTTTTTTTTTTTTACAACAAAAACAAACCAACACCTTTTTTTTTAATTTTGGCAAAAATTATTAAAAAGCTCTAGCCCTTTATTTAATAGCCCTGGGAGGGTCCCACAACTAATAAACCCGTAAAAGCCCGCCAAATGCCTGATAAGATTTAATCAGAAAACTAGTTAACTTCGGCCTAATGTCATAATTAAAGTTGGCCTAACCCCACAAATCGTTGGGTTAGGATAGGTTAACTTAAATTATTAGGTTAACTAAGATAGAACCTAACCAAACTCAACGCTTTGTTTAAGTCAGGCTAAAAATAACTCATTAGATGAATTTTAACCTACTTGACTTAACATGGACCATAGGGCTGGAAGGAAAGGTTTGTTCTCAGACGACGTATGCACAGTATTCGGCATGCTTTTATGATGTTATTAGCGGTCGGATTGTAATGAAAATGATGTAATTACCGTTAAATGTTTCATAGAATTCCGCACAATTTAAGTAACCAAGTAGGACCTACCGATAAGGTTACTTTACGACGAAAACCCTGGTTTCTGCTATTCCGCTTTACAAACATTTGGAGATTTCCCGATTATCAACCATGTGGCTTTTAAGTTACGTGAGGTTATTAGTACTTAGTCGGATCGTAACTTAATAAGAAATATACCGAATTCGACAGGACATTCCACATTAATTGGAGTAACTAAGCAACAACATTACTTTTGGGCAAATAATAACACACTTTTCCGCAAAAAAAAACTAACTTAGGCCTATAATTTTTTTAATCAACGCAAAAAATGATCTTAAAAAATTATTTTTGTAGCATTTAAGTTACTGGAGGTCAGCATTTTTACCATTTTTTTCTATAATTGGGGTATCCTATTAAGTCAATGCGAGTTGATAATTGGAACTCAACGGTTTCAGATAAAGAATAGGCCTAAATTTTCTTTGGGCCTAGGTCTAGAACAAAATGCTAAGTTAGGCCTAGGTTAGCAGGTTGGAGGCTTGGACTACCTCACAAACTAATAAAATGTACCTTCGAGCAATGTTCAGTCCCTTTGTACTAAAACCCTAACTTAACAGGACAGGACCTGAGACCTCAGAGAAAAAAGGCTAGGCCTAGCGTATTATTTTTCCTATACAAGTACCCTAATTTAAAAGGCAGAGGATACACGTCCGGTAACCAGACGTGGATTAGACGTACGGCAATTACTGTCATAACCTAACCTAACCAACCAAACTTGCTGATAATGAAAAAATCGAATTAGGATAAAATTCTTTCTCTATAAAAAAATTATAAATGCCAAAAATTCTAATAAAAGATGTACAGTTAAGAATAAATGGTATTCAGTGCAAAATCTTCAACAAAAAGATAAAGTTACCAATGGGATTCGAACCCTGGACCTCTTGCATATCAGCCGAGCACCTTATCCACTACACCACGACCACCGATGGCTGAACATTGTATTATTGTGGTAAAGGCGTTCCAGGCTCCCGCAACCCCATGACGTCATTGCCGTACGCCTTATCCACGCCCGGTTACCGGACGCGTATCCTCTATGAATTTAAAAAATGAAAAGGAGTAGGCCTACCTACCTAAATTATCTCCCCAAAATTAAATCCAGGATTCTAAAATCACGAAGATAGGCTATGAACCTAAAATAGGCTTAAGTTAACTAAAAATAGGCCAAGCCTAGGCCTAGCAGTTATGCAGCCTAAGACCTAAGTTAGTTTACATCAAAACAATAGTGACAGCAGACAGGTCGGGTTGCGCATGTGTGCATAGATTGGATCTAGGGTAGCTAAAAACTTTGGAGGCTCTTGACTGAAACACAAACTTAATCTGGCCTGTCCACATTGATTTTTTCTAGGCCTGGTAAGTTAAAATTTAAGATAAAGTAGCCTAGCCTAAGTTATGTGTAAGTTACACATATATTTCACTGAATGTTAAACTCATCCAATATCTTTTATAAAAAAGCACTATACTCAATTTTACAGAAACAATTTGCTTTGAAAAGGTAAGATTGCAATAGACCTTGGCCCAGCCAGACTTAAACTAAGTTTAATTACATCATAATATTTTAAAGTAGGCTAATGGCTATTAAATTACACCATTTTACGAGAGTTGAAAACATGCAAATCTATTTATTTACCTTTCTAACAACAACGTTTCCTTTAATTAACAAAAATAGGTAACTTAGTCAGACACTGCAAAATGATCATACGATACGAAATCTTCAACAGAGCTCGAATAAAACAGAATCAGAACGGAAATAAGAAACATGGCGGTAAACTCAAGTCAAGTCCAGAACAGAAAAGTTCATCAAAGGCGTTGTTTATAGAACACTCATTCGGTCGAACGAATGGATTCGGTAACCCTGGGTTGAATACAAATTCAAATTCAAATTATTTATTTGGGCATTAAACATTACATAATAGGCTATGTCTATACATAATTCAACTAAATAAAAATACAAACATCATCAGAGATTGCCCATGGCCTCTGGAGTTAAAGGTGGCCGTGCTTAAACACATATTACAAGGTTTTTAGTAGGTATACAATTTGGAAAAATTACACTTGTCATTGTTAATCTTTTTGGATACTGTGATCAAATAAACTGTCAATTGTGTTATTATGTTTGTTTTGATTGATAACATTATAAAAAAAACAATTTTGAACACTTTTTAATTCATGGGAAAATTTTACCTAGATTCCTAGATTATTTATTTATTTATTATTTCGCAACGGATTACACCATTTTACAATTTTATATGTATACAATATGTAAACAGATGATATTTACAATGATTTAGGATTAGGCATATAAGTTAGGTTTACAAAACTAAAAGAAGTAATAACAATATTAATAACAAAGTAATAAACTAAATGAGTAATATCAATAAATTAACACTGAAAGTTACAACGACAACAACATTTGCAAGTAAGTATGCTGGGGTTTGATTTCTTAAGTGAGCAAGGAGACCTTCTTCTTGAATGGGAGGGGCTTCTCATATAAGGGCCGGACTACACGAGCGTATGAAACGCCGCCGATAGTACGCGCAAAAATGTCTAGGACTACACGAAGCCGACAATCAGCAGCGTATTGAACGCGAGAGCATTGACTACACGAGCGTATAGAACGCCGCCGACTGTCCTCACCCAATGTGACTGACATTTAGACCGTTCCAATACGGAATGGACACGATACAGGTCGGATGTGCTGGTATGCTATTGTTGCAGGCTGTTAAGAAGAAATGTCGTGCAAAGAGGCGTTGGTTTTATCATTATCAAGTCGTTTAGTAACAGGGCAGTTTCAATTAATGTTTAATGCTCATAGAATGTACCCAGACAAACTTTTTCAGCAAAACAAATACAAATATTAAGGCACAAAAAACAATCAGACGACTCCAATTACAACAAGTAGTGCAGATGTAGAATTTGACTCGCCCAAGTGAGTGGAAGGATGTATCAACGCGCAGAAGAAATGTTAGTTGCCGCTGCGTGTAGTCCGGTGCGCCGACGATCTGCCCGCGTATTTTACGCATCCAGAGGCGTTAGATCTGCCAAACGCCTGAATTACGCGTCCTCACCAGGCAGACAAAGCGCTCGTGTAGTCCACATCATATAAAGCTATTGGCTCTGCAAAAAAAAGCAGACGGTCGGCGGCGTTTCATACGCTCGTGTAGTCCGGCCCTAAGAAGTGCAGTTGAGCAGCCGCCGTGCTACCAGCCTTGAGTAGACGGCAAATTCCGCTGTTGTAGGAATAGTATGCTGGGAGAAAGCGTCTGCTGAAGATAGTCTTGGAGCGTGTGCCTCTGGGCATGGCAATGTCGATATACCTCAGGATGTTGGGACAATCGATGAACCCGTTTACCAGCTTGTAGAGCAGAATTATGACGTCGGAGTAATAGAGGTAGAAGGTCGAAGGACTTCTCCACATCGTCAACCGGGGTGGTGTGGTAGGTAAACTACCAGGTATGCCTGGGTAACAGTGTTGTTGCGAGCTGATCGTAACACAAATGTAGAATTTTAAGAAGATCAAGGAGGAAAGGCTTGAGTTTGGAAGGGGAAGCCTATCATACTTCGGCCCAAAACTGTACAACGACCTCCCCTCTGTGCAGTGTTGCCACCTCGTTGTTGCGATTTTACCCTAAAGGCGAACTAAAATTACCCTAAATTACCCTAAATCTACTTTGAGTTACCCTAAAAATTACCCTAAATGTTAATATTTGCGTTTAATGCTATAAAACATTGTTAAAATGATATAAATCTTACATAAGGTGGTTAATTAAACTAAATAAGGTTCCAATATCAATCAATATACGTAAAATTATACTCGATTCTAAAAAAAACGAAGAAGAAGAACAAAATGTCGATATTCAGCTCTATTGTATATACGAAAAATATCGAATCAAGATATATCGTATTTTCTTACTGTGTCGACCCACACAGTTAGCCTAATTTAGCCTACTAACTGTTTTTGGACAATCATATCTTTATAATACAGTACGGTAACACCAAAGCTTTAATCTATACTTAGCAGTAATTTTTTGACACAATTTGTAAAATAATCCTAGTTTAATTCAATTCAATCACATAATTAAAAATCAAGAAGTAATTAATAATATGTCATATTTTATTATAACGTGTTATAGAATTGAACACAATCTGAAATAGATAATTCACAACTATTGATTAGATCATGTTTTTTCCTTCCACCATGCATAAGATCGATAAACTTATGAAAAATGCATCATAACAATCGATTTTTAAACCGGTTGAATCGCATATGACGGTTTTGGCCATAATATATAGGTAATGAACGTTTTTTGCCAAATTTTGAAGTTTATTTTCATGTTTTTAGTTAAATTTCCATTGTTATGCCAACTTTTTGTTTTACCCTAAAATTACCCTAAATCTACAATTACCCTAAACTTTACCCTAAGACTAGTAAATTACCCTAGAAAAGGGTAATTACCCTAAAAGTGGCAACACTGCCTCTGTGCTAAAAAAATACGCCTTGCCATATTTTAGAGCCAAAATTAAGGAATTGTACTGTTATGATTAGTTGTTATTGAGATTTTCTTGTTTCTATTTTATTATTGTTTCTATTTATTTGTTTGTTAGTTAGTTATTGTTACTTATAATATGACGAGAGTTGTTCTGAAAAGCAGTTGTACTGAGAAACGCTTGATCAATAAATGTATTTTTATTTATTTATTAAACCCAAGTCTCGGCCAAGCATCCGTATGAAGCGGGTTTAAATATTCTACAGTTGGTTGACATGGTTCTTCTGGAAAGGAGACCAGACGATAGACCCATACTCCAGCAGCGGCCGTACCAGGGACTTGTAGAGAGTGATCAAGGTACGTTAAAGGTGAGTTTAAGTTCCTAGTCGATCTGAATATGAACCTGAGCAGATGAGAGCTTGCTTTGGCTGTAATGTGGGCTATATGCTCTTGAGGGCTGAGCGAAGGGGTCATTGTTGCTCCGAAATCGCGTACTTTCTCCACTCTCTCCAGGTAGATCCATTGAGGACATAATCGTGTCGGACTGGAGCTGCACCACGTTTGTAGGAGATGACAACGCATTATTTCAAGACGTTAAGCTCCATAAAGTTTTCCTTGCACCAATCATCGATGTTAGTCAGAGAATGTTGGAGGCGTTCAAAGTCAGATGAACAAACACCTTAAATATCATCGGAAACCATGAAAAACTTGGTAAGGATGACGCGGTGCAAATGTCATTCATGAACAGATTAAACAGCAAGGGACCAAGGTGGGACCCTTGCGAGACTTCTTTGAAATCTTTGAAAGATTGTTTTAAAGAATTTTTGCTAGAGGTACTTTCTAAATTTATATTAATATAGTTTCTAAGATTTAATGTGGTACAATGGCGACCTTTTGATTACCAGGCGAACACTATAAGCCACGGCCACCTTTAACTCCAGGCCACGGCCTTCAAAGTGGCAACATCGCAAATAGTTTTGTTAACAGCAAGCTTCATAAATGAAGTTAATAACAGGTGTTTTGTTTTGATGCAGAATAATGGTAATTTGTGTATTTTTAGTGAATTTCCCTATAGGGAAGTAGCTATTACCGTAGGTCTCATGGTAAGACCTGGGCGCGGGACCGATTTACTTTTTCATTTTGATGTCCCCAGACAAGGGCGGTTCCAGAGAGGGGGCCATGGGGGCCATGCCCCCCCCCCCCCGAGGATGTAGATAAACAAACTTAAACTCCAACCATAATAATTTATTTTTAAAGTTTTTTATGTGAGTAGGCTATCAAGTACAGATGTATTCATTAGGACAAGAATAGGTAGCACAGGTAAGGCGGAGCTGGCGATTACGCGGGAAATAGTATGGGAGTGAGAGCGCGATAGTCATCGTCGTACTCAAGTTGTACTAGCCTGGGCCACACACATTCGCCACAGGTGCGCGGTGCCACCAGCTCGTAGTTAAACGGGTAATGTTTTTAGGCCGGCGCGTAGTACACATCGATGACTCATCACCATCACGCCATGTGACGAGCATCGATATATAGTAGTTATATATCGATGGTGACGAGTAGCCAATAGCACTGCTAGCATTGGTAGCAGCACTGCTGTGGTAGTAGTAGCGTAGCGACCAGCCGACTACAACCACAGCCACCTCTAATACATGTATTAGAGGTGGCTGTGCTACAACACTACAACACTGCTACTAGCCACTAGCGAGTAGACACTGAGTAGAGCAGCAGTGAGAGTGAGTGAACTGAACATCTATGGAATTTGAATATGCTACGTTGTCACTAGTTGATTTTATACCCTTGCATTGTGATTGGTTATTTATGGGTTCTTCGTCAGTATTTGAGTAGTAATAATGCAGTATTGTAAGCACAACTTTAATATATAGTAGCATAACTTTAATAGTAGTTAACTCTGTCGGTAAATTCAATGGACCATGGGCGCCATATTGAACCTACAATTTCAATGTCCTAAATTAGCCGAGCCTGAAAAAAATGTTTCAAGCTGATACCTTACAAGCATTTTGCAGAGGTTTGTTTTCAACGCAATACAATTGTAATTATTGAGCTCCCATATGCATTTAAGGATATTTTAAAAGTACCTTAAAAGTATTTTACAAAGTATTTTAAGAAGTCCTAGTCTAGGACAACTATGTGCAAAGTTAGAGGTAGATAAAGAGGAATAGATTATAAAGGCCAACTTGTATAGTTTTTCATAAAGCCCAAAATCTCTTGAACACGTTGATTTACTCAATGACACAAACCAATTAATTACACGGCTTTACATTGTATAAAACTATTATACTTCTCATCTATACAAGTAGATCAGCCAACTGTATTAGAAAGTGTTTTAGGCCTACGTGGATTTTTTGCTCGTCTATGATAAAACAAAAAAACTAAGAGCTTGCAAAGGCACCCGAAAACCAGGGCTAGAGATATCCCCGAAAACGGGCAAATGACACTACTTGCCTATGCTAGGTAGGCTATTTAGTCGACACGAGACACTCTGGTGTGACATACAAGTACTACACCTTAGAACAAGCTTCACATTTTAACATTGGATGGGAATTTTTTTTTTTTTTTGTTAGCTTGTATACGGTTCAACATGCCTGATGAGTTCACTGGAACCACTACATGGGCCCTCCGTATATCCCTGCCCAAGTCGGCACCAGGTGGTCAAGAAGTTTTATTGCATATAACCAAATTCATACCTATACTATTACTATACACTTTTCTTGAATTGTATCAATAAACCTAACCTAAAACTAGGTTCGAGTTTGACTGTTTGCACTTTGTTGCTGAAGAAATGTTCATGAAATTCCACAATTATTCTTAATAAGGCAACATTTTTTTAAATCTTAAAGCTAGGGTCTCAAATTAGCTTTAAAAACGCTAATTTCAGCACATAATTTTCACACATTTCCGGGGGAGGACCCCCGGACCCCCCTGTCTGCCAGGGGGGTATTCCATACCCCCCAGACCCCCGGTGGCCCCCTCCCCCGAAACTCAGCCCTGGAACCGCCCCTGTCCCCAGAGGTCAAAAACACTAATCGTTCAAATTCACATATATATACGTATATTTATATATGTGTCCGTTAGCGCAATAACTCGAGCAAAAATGATCCGATTTCGATGAAATTTGGTACAAACGTGTAAACCTACGTTAATTATTCGAACGAGTTCACGAACCAGCATGATCGGACTATATGGGGACGGGGGTTTATAGGGGTTTTTATAGGGTAAAAATGGGGTTTTCCCATTTTTGACCCTAAAAACAAAAAAATTTTCTATTTCTTTTTAAACCATTTGTAGAGCTTAAAAAAAGAAATAATTTAGTATACTGAAGCGCTGTTTTATGCCTAACCACGGAGAAAATAAAAAATAGTGTAATTTAAAATTCCCATGTTACTCTTATGGAGAAAATGAAAATTGTTGTAGTTCTTGTTTGTGGATATATATTGATAAAATTTGGTAAATTTATTTATTTCATCCTATACTATTGAAGTATGGTCAAAAACACTTTTTACCTTCCTCGTAGCAGCAAACCTAAGTACTCGTTAAATCTCATGTTATTTAAATAGAGAATAAAAATATGTCTTATTCATGGAAATATTTGAGCAAAAATATAATTAGACAAGTTGAAATTCGCTTAGTCTGCAGGTATGCTGCGGTGGGGGGAATTTAAGAATACGAAAGTTTGGTTACTGGGCTAAGCAAGTATTGACTCCACTTTAAATGTACAGAAATAGGTTGTCTAATTTATATTGTTTTGGTTTTAAATTCTATATGTTTGATTTTTAATCTTTTAATAGATTTATGTTCATACATTTTAATTTTAATGGATAATACTCGAATTAATGAGCTGGTGTCACCTGCCTGACAGTCTGCCATGTTATCTTCTTATGCGACATCTGGCGCTAAACAAAACTACTGGTGACGTTGCCAATTCTACCAGGCCGCGGCCTGGAGCTAAGGGTGGCCGTGCACTGAGCTATAGGGGAGTATGTTTTATCTATGGCTATAGCTATACAGCTACTTAACTACAGTACTGTATTTGGTAACATTAGGCTGTCTGGTTATATGTTTATAATCTATTTTTCGTACAGATACCTGACAAAGCAAGTTTCCTTGCACTGTCAGCTGTGCAGATCTTGACACAGTCTTTTGAATTTTGATACTAAGATCACAGATATAGTCTGTGCTATGAATACGACTTAACCAATTTGTTTCATGTTAGTTAACCATTCTATTTTCGTTAAACGCTTAAGTGGTACTTTGCTGCACACGAGAGTAATGTTTGTAGGCAAGTGTGGAAAGTTTCTCAAGGGCAGCAAAGGCAGTAACTGCCTTTGTTGCCCTGCACTCACGTTTGACATTACATTTTCCTACAGTTACTATAAGCATCATATCCTAACACGTTTATAGGTTAGGATAAATCCAAACATTGAACGAATTGGGAAACGTTGCACCAGCTGATCGTAGTCGTGATATTATATTTTTGTTATTATATTTTGTTATACTTATTTCCTATTTATACTGTTATTGCTTGTTATATCGTTATATCTTATACCTTGTTACATCTTATATCTTGTTATGTCTTATATCATTTTTATATCTTATATTTTTTGTTGTCATATTGTTCATCTATTTATTGAATATTATTTCAAGTTGGCTGAAATTGCTTCTACAAATGTCTCTTTTTAACTTAAGGCTTATTAAGTTTTGTCATATTTATATATTAGTTTGGCCGTTGGTATGAATGAATAAATAAATATCTTTATGTGTTGTCAAACTTATTTTCAAGCGTTTGGTTGGAATACTGGTGTGTGGCAAAAGTAAGTAGATGCAGCAATAATAATTAGCAACTTTCTGTGCTATAATCAGTGCAAGGAAGGCCACCTTGCCAGGTGAATGAATGAATGAATGAGGTCAGGTAATTGTAGGAAAATAATTATTCTGAAACAGAAAAAAAGATTCATTGTACCAAACACTTTAAGTTAAAAAATATATCTCCCGTATTAGACGATATCGATATTCAATATCGGGTATTTAAAAATGAACTCTTAAAATGCACATAAGCACCAGCAAACTAAACTATGCTATCTTTAACCAAATGTCTAGACATATAAAAAAATACATAATTTATGAGGATATTTAAAGAACGATGGTGTCTGAAACGTGAAAAAGTAAGGATTTTGGACAAAATTATTGTCCATGAAACACGTAAAAAATAATCTTCTAATTTTCATTCGATACCTTTGCTCCACGCTACATGTAAATTTCTTCTTCTCCAACAGCTTGCCGCGGGATTGCTCTCCGCTGCCGCTCTGATCTTCTGTTGTGTTGCTCTCGTGGTTAAAATCATGGCGGATAAAGATGAAAATGAGAAAACTATCGCCGAAGACTTGGTTGTTACCAAGTATAAAATGGCTGGTGACATCGTCAATCGTAAGTATAAACTGTGTATGAATATCTTAAAGTATATTTAGATTTTACAACTTAATATGTTTAGTAGTTCCATTGTTGGGACTCTTAACCCATATGGGTTGTTAGCCTTGATTCCATAATGCCATGTGGCCAGAGTACTTATTTCAGATTTTTTATGGTGTCAGATATTTATTGTGACATTTATTTCCTTGGGAATGAATTTTATATCCGTTTTATATCCAGCTTAACCATTATGATAGCATACCCAAGGTCTAGGTGATTCACCCAAGTAGGCCTAGGCCTAGCCTAACTTAATCTGTCCAAGCCACAGTAAATAAATCCTGCCGACCTGTCACATTTGCACACACTTTTGGGACATTGGAACGGGACCACTCTTCTTAACGCGAACCCTTTCCCTGGTAGGCTAGATGACTCTTGAGAGACAAAGCTAACAATGAGAAATGTGTTTTGGGAGGTTGGCCTATCCTTCTCCAAATAGGCTAAATCCCAATAGCAAATAGGCCTATTACACGATTAAGGCCCTGTTTCTCCAAGTAGCTTTTAACTTAAAGGGGTTTAAAGTTACACAGAAGTTTAAACCATCAATCAATTTCTCTCTACATTTTGGCCTGAAGTTTATGTTAAACCATGGAAGAAGAATGTTGGCTGCCCTGATCTAGTAGGCCTATTTCCCATTTATTTCATCTGTCTAATGCAAATTTGGAGGTTATGTTATTTATTTTGCTATCATTTATAAAGATGGACGACTGGTAGGGGCCTATATAGCCTAATCTAAATGAAATCCAAGGTGGCAAATTATTTGCAAAAGAATTATAGACTAAGTGGATGCGACACCAAATAGTATTGTTTTTTGGTAGGCTACGTGGGAAAGTCTATAGGCCTAGACTAGATTTTTATCCCTCCAGCTGATGATCAATTTGAGTGAGTCGATTGCCACACCCTGGCCAGCTGCTAGACGACTCAAGTGAGTTGATACGTAAGGTGTTGTTTAATCTACTTCACTCCGTTTCAGTGTACAAGAAACTGGATTGAGTTTGGTATAGTGATGGGCGATACGGGTCAATGTATCAATACGTATCGGAACGTGGTGTATCGTATCGTATCCTCATGTATGAATGAACCCGTATCGGATAAAATATCGTATCGTTTTGTTTATTTATAATTTTAAGAAAAAAATTTAAATATCTCAAATAATATACAAGCTGCATGGACAAATACTGTGTTACTTACAAGCTTAAGATAGGTTTAGTGATCTTACCTCAGAAAAGCCGTTTCCTGTGTCTTTTTATTTGTATCAAACTCCTCAATAACCTCAGAATTCCGGTATACCCACACAAATTAGAAAATATTTTGTTATTATTTTCCTAGTTTTTACACATGGATAATTAATTATACAAAAAATACTTATAATGATGGTGGGTATGCCACTTACGCATTTAATAATATATTATGGATAAATGAGGGTCCCCACGTCCATTAATGGTGGCCCTAGTTTTGAGGTTATTTGCAAAACATAGCTGAAAATACATGTTTTATCAGTGTTTTTGAGGATGGTAGGGTAAAATATCAAATTTCTACTACTACATTTGAGAAGAGGAAGCTGGGAAGACAATTTTTTACCTTAAAAATAATATTTATATTAATAAAAAAAAACAATATGATATTCGATACGATATTGGCTATAGGTGTATCGATACGGACATATCGATACACTCCCACGAATCGATACAAAATATCGATATTTTCCGGTCCTTGTATCGATATCTGTATCGATACGCACATCACTAGTTTGGTAGCCTATCTCCACAAACGTCAGATTTCAGGCTTTCTCCCAATACCTGTCTCTAATGCTTTAACCCAACTGGCTGCTTTGTAAAACGACTTGCAAAATTGACATCGTCGCGCCAGCTGTCTGCTGTCTACAAACAGTGCTAACCTGCGTAGTTACCGAGTCTGTTTGTTTATGTCATCCAAAGCGGTTCCTAATTTAGTGTTTTTACGTAAATAATGAATAGTAGTGGCATCCGTATGTGTTTTAGTGAGGATCTTAGTGATCCTGACGAAGATTCGTTTGGTGTTGGTAATGAAAAGGTATAATCCTAGGCCTAGGCCTATGCCTACTCTTGATCCTTGGGTGAGGGTTTCTGTCCATAAAAGAGTTATAATATTTTATTTTTTATTTTATGTGCATAAAAGTATATATTTTCTTGTTCCTTATTAAATTTGCTACAAAATGGCTATTTTGAATTTTAGTTTAGAGCAAAATAATATTATTTTTATGATGTGCAAAGCTACAAAATGAAAACAAAATATATATATTTTGTTTGTTTACATCTTTATACATTTTTATATTTTCATGGAAACAACCATGCAATAATATGGTAGGCTATGTTTTTGTAGGTAATTTTATACTGAACAAGAAAATATATATGTTATGGTTTGTTTGATTATTACACTTTATTAGGCCTATTATTTTTTTTTTGATTGCCGCAAATTGCCTAAAAGTGCTTAGCACCAAGGGCAAATATAACTAGCAGTTGGAGGGTTAAAAAGTGTTCTTTAGAGGCTTTGCGTCAATGCCTAGTTTTTAATAACAGCAATTTTTCGAAAGTAACGGAGAAAAGTTGTTCTTGGATTGTATGGAATGGATAGGTTCTTGAGCCTAAATGAAGATTTATATTCCGGCTGATGTCAAAGACGACGGCATTAATATCCTTATTACTTATTATCACTCGGTTCTACCTTAAAATGAAATTGAAAATAAATAAATAGGGTATCGTGTATTTAACTTAATGAATCCAAGAAATAAATAGCCTAACTTAAATAAGTACAACGACCAGAGTCCACTGCTATGTAATATCTGACAATATTAGTTAAAACCTCTGTTATACTGTATGTAGTCGTAATGCTACAACAGTGGAATTTGAGGTTATGTTGTATTTTAGTAGGCCTACAGACAAAGTGAGTCAAACCTTACTGTACGGTTGAAACCAGCAGGTAATACGGTTTAACTGTTTCCCCAAGTTAAACTTCCAAAGAACGATGGAGAAACCGATGAGCCAGTTAAACTGTTTCTAAAGTTTAAACCACTTTGGAGAAACCGGTCCTTGAAGTGATACTAATACCATAATGTGTCACATTTTCACTGAGGGATTAAAACTCATGATGAATCAATCAAATTTAATCAATAGGCCTAGTATAACGGTTGACAAAAATAAACAAACGTCTTACCAACTAACATCGCTAGCAGCCTTAGGTTGGTACATTCTTTGGCTTCTTAAGTCACGGTATTAAATAGTTTAGCTTATTCTATGGTGGAATCGCATCTAAATACTAGAGTAAAATACCTGTATATATAGTATAATATATATAGTTTAGCTTAACTTGTAGGCTGAGATAATATTCAATTGATTTTCACTTTGTAGGCCTACGTAAAAAATATGTAAATTAATAAAATAAGCTCTAGCTTAGTTTAGCTTGTTGAGTTTAAGTTATTGCTTAAACAAAAACAACAAGAAGGCTATAAGTTTTTTACCTCAGTGAACCCATCATCAGCCGCTGCCGACATGTCACGTCATCACAGCTCATGTCAAACTATAGGGAGTGTTGAACTATTGAGGTTCTACTGTACCATCACCCTACACGTTAAATACCAGTAGCTCAATTTCTTATGCAACCTGACTTAGGCTGGGGTCATATGTCATGGTTGAGCCGCGTGTTCCGTCAACACCTTGAATCAGATGGGTAGACACGGTTTGCCTGCACCATGTAGTAGCTGAACCGCGCTTAGTTAAGTTTAGCCCTGTTGTAGGGAATGAATGACACACACAATCTTTTGAGAGACACCAGAGGTTGTGTTTGACCATGCTATTGAAGCTGTTATGGCATATATTGTCTTTTTTAGTAGGCTAGGCCTATGTATTTATTCACGCAATGTTAACTTATTGCGTGATGATCTTCGGCACTAATTAAATTTCTCTTGACTATATTTTCAATTCATAAGTTATATGTGTTCTAACCAATTCTAGTAGGACGTCTAACGTTGCTATTGATATACGGTAATAACAAAAAACTCCGAACTATGGTTTGCATGTGTTTTAAAAAAGTTTGAAACAAATGGCTTATTTGTTATGAGGGAGTGGACCCAGTTATTCCTGTTAACCCTTGGTTCTAGCTCACCACATGCAGTGGCGGCGATAGCGGGCCCGCAGGGCCCGCGGTATGGAGGGGGCCCGTGAGCCTTGACCGGGATTTTTGGAAAATTTTACCGGCACACGGGCCCGCGATATTATGACAGGCTCAGCCACACGGGTCCCCTATCATAACAATATTAATATGAGAATTAAAATATGTTTTTTTTATGATGAAAATTTGTTCAAACCTATAGTTCAAGTAGATTACAACAGCTAATCTAACACTATTACTTGACCGATCGATATAAATTATCTACCAACCTAAGTAAAAGAATTGCCATCAGTAACTGTCCTCGTGGATTGTGTGAAGGCGCAGTCAAAATTGGTTGCATAATAATAGAGCCGTAGGCCTATTTATAACCAATGTGGCCTCTGGCCTAGGAAGATAAAACATTAATGTTAATCGTCCTCGCCCCCAGCGGGTGACACCATAGAAGATCCTCTATGCTGATTTGACTAAATAAACTTGACAATTTTGTTACAACCAAATCGGCAAATTAACCTAGGTGGCTAGGGCACTAGCTAATAAATAATTCCATTCTTTCATGATGCTAAAGAAGGATTTTCATTTCATTTCATGTCTTACTATTAGGAGGCTGCCCTTTAGATTTGTTTACTTCGCACTTTAGATGTGTTTACATTGAGTCAGGTAAAGAATGTTACTTGCCTAAGGGCCTCAGGCCAAATCAGATCGGTTCAAAATCAGGTTGATTTGGAAACGGTTGATTTTTATAATAGGCCTATAATGTAGATTTTCGAGCCGAGCATAGTCTGGACTACAAGCTTGAGAGATCAAGCACAAAGTCA